TAAGAAATAGATTTTTATGACGGTACTCCATTACATCATATAGTTTTTATAACAGACTATTTCCCCTATGGTTGAGTATAGTTGCGCTACCTGTCAAGTTGAAATACACGAAATGAAAAGGTCGAGACTCAACAAATGTATTTGTGAACAAATGCGGATAGGCCTGCCAGAATAGTTAGAAATGATTTGCTTGCGCATAAGAAGCTGCTTATTTTTAACAGATGCTGAACTTAATTTCGAAAATACCATAAAACTGGGCATTTTTGTGATATCTTGCGACAATGAAGTAGGGCAGAAAATTCATAGCCAATCTCACTCCGATTGTGCAAGCCCATTACAGGGTCATGCATAACGTAACTCAAGCAAATTATGTTTAAAGAATCACTTGATTCATGGCTTGAAATTATGGGTCTAGGGACCCGTTCTCCTTTGTTTGAAAAAAGTTGCATTTTATCAAACAAAAAAAATTCTTTGTTTCAGTTATTTGATAATACAAGAATTTTCAATGCAACCTCATGACTAATGCCCCTCTTCTCTTGACTGATGCCCCCTATGCAATGGCGTAGCAGTGGCAGCCTGGAACCCCAATAGATTTTCCAGTTAGGGGTCTACCAAATATTCGGCATTAGTAAAAAGTAAAAGCAAAGCATCGAATGCTCATCAACAGACTTTCCATTCATTTGGACTGTAATATCATGCAGGCTTGGGGTCCCTTGAACTCATTGATCACCTCCAGAATACCAGTTTCACAGTAAAGTAACAAAAAACATTTTTGCTTGGGGCCCCTTAAGGTTGGGGACCCTTACTTCTGAAGTAAGGGTAACTTTAGTCCGTTACGCCACTGTCTGTATGTCTCTTTCAAAAATCTAGCCCCGAATAAAATCTAAATTTTCGCTAATGACCATTAAAATATTCACACATGAAGCTAGTTCTTGATTATGATTGCGAAGTTCAATGTGAAAAAAGTTCATACCAGCAGTGATGTATCGATTAAGCGTGCAAAAATATCTGATTTCTCATTTGCAATTAACAGCTGTTATTATATTCGTAAACGAAATAAGGAGGCCTGTTAGATATTTATATGGTTCAAAAATCCAGATTGTTGAATCCTTGCCATGCGCCTTCATCACTTCTTAAAAATCATGTTTTATATTGGCTATGTTATAGTTTCTGTTGGAGCCACGCCTCGTCATAATATTTTCTACATACAGTTCTTCTGGAGACTGATTACAACTTTAAACTCATAACTCATCACCATTAGGTTTCTCTTTACTGTCACCTGAATTTTCAGCATTTCACAGAAGGTTGATAACCAACAAAAAAAACGACTGCAATTGTCTTACCACGATCATCTTTCGTGTATAACAATACTGCTGCAGTCATTCTTTCATATACACAGCATAGTGTCCCAGTGTCTTGAGACTTGAAGAATTTTAAAGGACCTTCTGCTCATAACAAACTTTTCGTAGCAAAGTGCAATTTTTTGAGAATTAGACCGACATGACATTGGCAATGTATTTTGTTTATTGTTTCACTGAATGTGTAAGCTGACCGACATGTCCACAAAGGGCAAGCCCTTGTTAAATGGCAAGCATTGTCATTAGGTGGGCGTTGTCAGGCTGCGCAGCTGCGACACTTTAACCGAAAGGCATGATTCCAACCACTGCGCAAAGCAGTTTCGAGTGGGTGTCGTAACTGTGTGAATTTCAGAATATGTAATCAGAAATCAGGAAGGAAATTCACAACCTCTTGCAATCAAAAAAATTAAACCGAGACTGTATGTAAACGAGATTTAGCAAAACAACATCAGGTTATTGATTTGCACATAATTTAGCTGCAAAACTAGCTGCAAGGCATGCTTGTTGTCATACTCTTGAATTCTGATTGGTCAATGTGTTATGGAGAATTTAGATCGCTCAGCCAATCAAAGATTTGGAATCTATGCTTTGAAACACTCCAGCAGCAACAATGGATTTGAGCAGCTAGATGTTTTTCTCAGAATTTCGACAAGAACTACGAAAGAAGTTCGATTTAAAAACGATTTTCATCTAGTTTCTTGTGCCTTTTGTCAGCTCAACATGAGTTTAGATGAGCTCAATTTGAAATTTCACTACTGTGGCTTTTTTCTAATCTATATTTCATACACCATTAATGATTGACAACACACCCGTAAAAAGCTTGTTCTGTGCTCAAGAAAATAATGGGATTACCAATGTTCTAACAGGCTCTACGTAACTCAATTTCGTTTATATTGTTTTGGATTTTCTCAAGGTGACAGGTGTATAGCTCTTCGTTTGTAAATACTGTTATGCATAAAGCACAAAGCATTTATTTTGCTAGATTCTGCAGACCCCCATCTTTGGTTTTTCTTTAGTGCTTTCCCCTTCTACTAGTATTTCGAGTCATACGCAGGGCCGCGTTGAGAATTTTGGGGCCCTGGGAACAGGATATAATGGCGGCGCTACACGGGCGCCTTTACCTGATAATTTAATAATAGATATGGCTGCAGACGGGCCTGAACTACATATATCTATCCAAAAATTTGATTTTTATCATATGTCATAACTTCTTTCCGGAAAAATCTTACCATTTCAGAAATTTTGGGGCCTCTCTTACGCTAGGAGCCCTGAAAACATGTAGGGGTCATGTTGTGGATGCGAGAAGGCAAACTTTGCTGAAACATCGAAATAACATTTTTCCTGAAACTACTTTTATGAAGCAAAACTACATTTATTCATACTGACTACTTTTTTATTCATTCTTTCTTACAGTTCCGTGTTATTACCTCTTCAAAAAAATCTTCGAAAACTCAGATTTTACAAATATGTAGAATACGTTGAAAATATTATATAAGCTTCTTCAAATCTTTTTTCGAATTTTACGTAGTCAAGCATAAATCTTTCGCTCTTCTATGAAAAGGGGCACAGAGGCCGGCGGGGGGGGGAGGGGGGGTTGGGTGAGAGATGGTAAAGTGCCTACCTTGTTTAAATAAATTTGGAAAATTATTTTTTAAACACTTGCAGCTGCGACTCTAAAACATTTTTTCCTTGTATCCCACCAGAGCCCTCTATTTTCCCTTCTTCATGTTTTTCCACTGGTATGGCCAAGTTTTTTCTTGGCTTTCCCCCTGAAATAGAAAAATCCATTAACAAAACAGTTCCATAAGTGTAGAATGCTCCAGCTTTAGAAGCGTATGTTTTAAACATTGAATCGTTTCCTTTTTTAGCTTTAAACACATGTTTTGGAACATTGAATCAGATGCGAGTGGGAAGGCAATAAAAATATCAATTGAATGAGAAGGAGATGATGTTTGTTACTTTTAATGGATTCCGATCTTTCAAAACATTAAGATTAGCACTGCAGTAGTATTTTTGTGTTCTACCAATATGACAGCGTTTGTCTAAAGCAGAGCTGCGATAATATCGCTATTAACGGCATCTGCGGAGACTTAGCACGCTCTGATCAAGTTTCTTCTGTATCTGTTAAATTCGCTAAGATCGCATATAATTTTCAGATTACTTGACAACGCTCTTTGAATAGCTTATACACTTGATATTTTCTTGAATATTTATTACAGAAATCTGAATATTTAAAATAAAAGACATGTCTCTTGATGAGTAATGCAAGAGTTTAGGCCAGAGTTTAGTTCAAGAAAGCGGTTTAATGACATGGTTCCAGTGCAAAACTCAATTTTCTTTGTGTTAAACAAAACTCTTAGTGAGGCCTGTCCTTACTACTACGCAAAAAATACACTTGTTTAATAATGTCAAAATCATTTTATCAAGATTTTATCAATATCTCTTCCTTTCTGATAACGCAAAATCGTCCGTTCTTCTATTACTCTTACAATCTGCGCTAGTTAGGGTTCTGAAGGCCATGATTTCATTGTTTTGATTGCCACTCCATGGCATGTAAAAGAGACAAAGTGACGTTAAAAAAATTATTTTAAGTTTTTAGAATTCCGACCTAAATTCTAAAAAATAGCCCGAAAGAACCTGTTAGGCAGGCGTGAGCAATCCACGGCCCGCGGGCCAGAATTCAGTCTGGGAAGAGAAATTTTGAGCTCTGCGAGATGATGAAAATATATTACAATTTTTTTTGGTTGGCTAGGATGATTCTCCGAGTGGAAGCAAATATTGAATCAAACTATCGATACAAAATGAGATTATCTTTGTCAAATCTGGAAATCATGGAAAGATTTTTTCACAATCCTTTGTCACAAAGTCATCCTGCTCATCTGGCCCACTCTCCAAAATGGTTGCCTAACCCTTTGCCTCCTATCTATGTTCTTAAAGAGCATTTGTAGTTGTGTTGTTTCTCTTGTCCCTACACATTGCTGGCTCCAGCTAGTTTTCTCCCTCTTATCTAGAAGAACCAGTTAGTTGAAGTTCAAGCTGGCTGTTTTTAATTTTTTTCGAAAATTTGAGGCTGGATTTTTTTTTATTTGTTCTTAAACTATTTGGGTATAAGCAGTGTACTAGCTAGTTAGCTCTAGGGGGAGGGCTGTCTTCAAGTCTCGTTTGCCAAAAATGTGGGCAAGACATCCTATTTTTGCCAAATTCACTGAAATCACCAAAAAAGCACCCTTAGATGGCAAAAAACTCCTCATTTCTTAGGTGGAATTTTTAAGGAGGTTATACAACATTGTTCAAAATTACATGTTGCAGTAGTTCAGCCTCAGCTTGTTATTGATGTATTCAATTTTGAAGCCTGTGTTCTTATAAAAAAGAATGTAATTAATTCGTTTGAAGCGAGAAGCTATACGAACAAAATACAGGGGCATTGTTTCGAGTTCTATCTCCCAAATAAGTAGAAAGCGCATGGAATTTGATCAAGTGTAGCAGTTTTAAAAAAAATAGCTTTTTAACAACAGACTTGAAAAGTTTCCTAGATTATACCTTGCTTTATGATTAAAATCATTCCTTTAAATTCAAATACAGACGTGTTATTTTATTCTTTATTCTGATAATAAATGTTAACTGTATAAATTTCTCTACCAGCGTGTGGCTTTGATGGATCCGGAGGAAATGAAGGAATGTCCGAAACCTCTTTCGAACCGTTCTCCCCAACGAATAAAGGAGAGCGGATCGTTATCAACGTTGGCGGTACAAGACATGAAACCTACATCGGTACATTGCATTCTGTTCCGGATACAAGGCTTTACTGGATAACGGAAAAACACACAATGTCGCCAGAGTATGATCCAGACAGACAAGAGTATTTCTTTGATAGACATCCAGGGCTATTTTCATATATTTTGGACTATTACCGGACCGGAAAGCTTCACTGTCCGGCTGATGTGTGCGGGCCTCTTTTTGAAGAAGAGCTTCTGTTTTGGGGCATCGATGAGGCTGTTATAGAGCCTTGTTGTTGGATGAATTACCAAAAACATAGGGATGCAGAGGTAACGTGGTTTAAACTTTTACTGTGGAATATCGGTAAATGTCATCAAAGACCGAGATACAACTTTTTATTGTTGGGGAACAGCCCTGGTAAATGCAGGGGTGGATCCAGAGCAAATTTGAAGGGGGGCAGTTGGTAGTGGGGGCGCTGAAAAATTTTCAAAAATTGATTACGAGAGTACGCTGTATACAACAATTTCAGATACCTTTTCAGAATAAACAACATAACTTTAAGGTAATCCTTGAAGCAAATTAACCTATCGGTCTCAGAAACTTTTTCACCTGATTCTCATTCTTCAAAAGGGGCGCATAATTTCCAAAAAAGGTGCCAGACTTGCTTCAACTCGTCGAGGGAGGGGCAACTACCCCTAGTTGCCCCCCTTAAATCCGCCACTTGGTAAATGAGTGTAACAATGGTCATTTGTTAAGGAGACCCGCTGGCCCTCCAGGCCCCCCAGACACTGTATCTCGGACCTTGCATGTACTGAAACTAGCCTGATACAAAAATTAATCATTTTCAGTAGAAGAATTCTTCGAGTACGTACATCGACAAGATGTAGTTATTGAATAATGCCATTATTTTACTTTATTTGAGTATTTCTCTATTGTAATTGCAAAAATAGGCGTTTCCATCATTTCCTAGACATCAAAAGGTGTGGCAATAAAACTCTATCATTATCTAGCACACCCTAACCCTTGTCATCAAACTCCGTCCCTGAATCGAGAGGAAGGACCAGGACATTGTTCAATAAGCACAGCTTTTCAGTGGCTTTAAAACTTCCTTCAGAATCTAGCTGTAGCAAAATACAAATTCTTGAATCTTGACATCCGTTTTTCCTAAAGGTAAATCTTCAATCATTTGACTCACTTGACGGAGATGATGAAAGAAATTCTGTTCAACCATCCGATGTAGAAAACCAGGGACAGCTCGGGGAACAGGATAGCAGGCATTTGGAACGAAGAAGCACTTTGAATAGCATCATGAGAAAGTGGACCTACTGGCAGCCAAAGGTCTGGTCAACATTGGAAGAACCGAATTCGTCTAAAGCAGCCCAGGTTGGATTTACAATGATTTTTTGTCTTTTATTTTCAGTTGTTTTCAATAGTCGTATTGTAAAGTTAAAAATGTAGAACCATAATGACGGGTTTTGTGACAATCGAGGAGGCTTGAGCAACGAGAACACAGGGGGTCGGTCCGTTGGATTGCTGTCACGAAATCCAACTATCTATTCAACTTTTAATTTCCCTGGCTTTTATATTGTTATTTTTCCCCTTTTCTTGCATCTTTCGAGATAAAAATGTCCAGGCTCTTCTTGGATAATGATTTTTCAAATTTCTTTCGCACATTTGTTAAATTTCGCTTGCCACATATACCAAGAATGCTTGTAAGAGATTCCCTCAAAGGCATAGAAGAAAGACTGTATCCAAGAGTGGTTTTATTGTATTTTGCTTTAGCTGCACTGCTGAAGAGAACAACGGAGAACACAGCAAAATATCATTACTATATGAATGATTTACAGATATGATATCGGCTTTGAAAAAAGCAAACATTTTACAACATACTAAAAGCTTTTTCGTCTGACACCCCTCAGAGCATAAAACGTCAGAATAAGGTTCCGAAAGAACACGATGGAAAATTGATTGGTCAACTATACCGGTCTTGTGCTTGCGTTTTTCTGATTGGCCTATTTCGATCCACAACTGGGTATATATTTTCCATCGTGTTCTTTCGGAACCTATTCTGACGTTTTATGCTCTGAGGAGTGTCAGACGAAAAAGCTTTTAGTATGTCGTAAAATGTTTGCTTTTTTCAAAGCCATTTTCAAATTCTGTACTGCAAAAAAAATTGTTCAGATATGATATCATCCGATATGATTGACATAATCTTTGTAACTATAGTATATAACTAATGAGATATCTATTGCTCCTCCACAGGTGATTGGTCTAATCTCCATGAGCCTCATCGCGATTTCAGTCACGACGTTCTGTTTAGAAACATTAGAGTTCTTCAAGAATAAGGGCAGTATTCAATATCAGTTTCTTGAATACCTTGAAATCATTTGCGTCACCTGGTTCACTCTTGAGTTCGTCAGCCGCTTGATATTCTCTGCTGATAAAGTTGCATTTTTCAAAAGCCTAATGAACTGGATCGATTTTTGCGCCATTTTCCCATTCTTTCTAGAACTTATGCTTCGTAAAAATAACATGAGGACTATAGTTGTGTTACGTGTAGTTCGAATCACGCGATTGTTTCGTATTTTCAAGCTATCGCGGCACTCATACGGCCTACAAATCTTAGGCCACACACTGAAGTCCAGCTGCCGTGAGTTATTTCTGCTTGTTTTCTTTCTATCCATCGCTGTCGTAATTTTCTCCAGCCTAATCTATTATGCTGAGAAAGACCGCCAAGCTGATAAGTTCGACTCTATCCCAGGCTCCTTTTGGTGGAGCGTTGTTACTATGACGACAATTGGATACGGTGACATCGTGCCTAAGACCGCGCCTGGCAAATGTGTAGGGATAATGTGTGCCCTCTGCGGAGTATTAGTTATTGCACTGCCCATTCCTGTTATTGTAAACAATTTCAGTCTATACTATTCTCATGCCCAAGCGAGACTGCGAGTTTCAAACAAGCGGAAGAAGCCGTTGTTGTTCGGCGCGGCAAACGCGCTACGCATGACAGATCCTTGGATGCCAAATCGTCTGTTGCAGAAACAGCGTTCCGAGCAATCAGACTTCACAGCCATTTTGCACTCACCAAGACGCACCCCACTAGCCAGTCCGACCCCCACCATCAGACAGTTTGCTGCAATCAGTGGGGCCAATGCTGTGTGGAACAGAGGGAAGGAGATTGGGTTTAAGCAAGCAATTTCTCGTGCCTCCCCGTGCCCTAGCATAAATTCTTCTCTCAATTCTCGCGCCAGTGTCAAGACCCCACCATCATCACGACGGGTTAGCAACCATCTAACAGAGGAGAACGGGGCATCAAAGCACTCAAGTCCTACCCGAGGGTTACCCTCACAGCTTCCAGTTATACGTCTGTCACCAAACTACGAAAGCCCCAGCATTAATGTGAGCCCACCCAGCACGCCAAGTAGAACCAACAGCCAGATCCAAAGCTCTGTAGGCTCTCCATTCCCATTGTCTCCATGCGCAGAGTCGTCAACATTCTCCCAAGACCTTTACACCCCAAAATCAAGCACGTGTCCATCGAGACAGGATCTTTCTCCCTTGCAATCACCCTTATTCTTGTGCAGTCCTGACAAGTCGACCCTAAGCACCTGTATCAGTGACATTATGACAACTCCCAGCACGCCTTGCAGCTTCAGCAGCTCGTCTTCCAAACTAGCGAGTCCCCGCGGACGCATGGGACGTCGCAATGGCATTTGCATTCTGGGATACCAGTCAAGGGGACCGCCTCGAAGGAAAGCGTCTACTGCCACGAGGACGCGTAAGACCTCGACGCGCTCTTTTCTGGACAGCAGTGATTCTCAGATGTCAAGTCGCAGGGATTCTCGTGTGTTTAGCAACATGTCAGTAGCAGAGAGTCGCGACGAGCGCAGCTGCCTTGTTGCACCTTCGCCGGGCGTTAGCAAAACATTATTTGAAGTTTCTCGACGTCTTGAGACGATGATGCCAGAGGAATCACCCCCGGAACGTTCACCGAAACCGGCCGCCAGGACAACTAGTGTCTCGAATGATTCGGTTCGAAGTGCCTACTCAAGCCGGTCGTCCTCACCTCTCGTTAGACAGAAAGCAACCAACGCGACACTTGAGTCGATGAGCTCACAAGAAACCGATCAACCATCGGAGCAACATGATGGAAACGAAGAGAACGTGCCAAAACTTGAATCCGTTATGAATGGGTTGATATTCAAACGACGAAACAGACAAAAACAAGAGAAGGGTGTTGAGGGTTTTAGTTGCACCGTCACGCCCATGTCGGCTAGCCTCGCTGGCAGTGGTGAAGCCATAAGCGGAGCACCAAGTATCGATGTCAACGAAATAAAGGACAGCTTAAAACAGAAATCAAGTCAAGACCAAATGTCTTTTAAATCACTAGAGGTCTTTGATCGATCATCACCAAACCTAACTCTTCAACCGATTAATGATAATAAAAACTTAAAAACAAAATCTTTGGATGACATAAGAACTAATCGAAAGGAGAAATCGGAAAGCGAGGGACGAAATGTTATAAGTGTTTCGACATCTCCTAGCTCGCCAGGCTTGGGAAAGTTTCAGTATACTATTACGTGCAGAAAAGAGGCGTTTGTTGAAAGCAGGAACGCAAGTGCTGAAGAGAGGGAGTATCAACAAGGTAAAGAAGTCATTCGACCAGCTGTGTGTTTTTCAGGTCGAAGATGCAAATCAGCTGATAACAACAGGCAAGAGTTACAAATATCGGAAGATATAAGACATCGCGCTCAATCAAACGATGTCGAGTTGACTATATCACAACAAAAAAGCGCGCCACATCTTTTATCTAAATCTATCGATCTCGTCTCGAAGTCTTTCGACAAGTCGCCTCTTGTCCCAAGACGGTATGGGTTTTCGGCTAGAAGTCCATGGGCGTCAAGGCTTGGTCACGTGCACGACTCAGGGGTCCATAGTATGTCCATGTCTCAAAATCAAGAAACCTGCACACTTGACTTACAATTAGACGAACTGCCAGAAGGAGGATACAACGATAAGGAGGCTAATAATGAAAAAGTGCATACTACTGTACAGTGAGGATACTGCTTTGTTTAAGCTATTTGAACGAAACCTCTTCTCCGTGGAATGCATTGGTGACCCATTACGGAAACCTGTAGAAGCATAGGAATGGCTTTCGGCCAAATACACGAAAAAACCTTAAAGCAAAAAGAACAACATCGCAAGCTCTTGTATATAAAAGACAAACAATTTCGCTTCTTATTGTGTTTTTATTAATTATTTCGCAGTTGTAATCTTAGCACCTAAGAAAGGAGCTGAGATATTAGTATTTCATTATAAACCTAAAGATCCATGTAAATGTTAACCGTTTTTATAGGTTCTTACAATATCGGTTTTCATTTTTGTATGGGAATATTCGCAATGTTTTTGAGAGCAGATAGTGTCAAGTATTTATCTATAAACGAGACATGTACAGTGTTTAAAAGTCGACGTCTGGTACGCACAACCTTGCAAATTACAAGGTGGAGAATCGAAACAAAAAGGAAGCAATAAGAAATGGAACTTTGCATTGTAATGTTCAGCTGCTGTTTCTGGACTAAATTCAGCAAGATATCAAATAAGACTTTTAAAGTCAATGAAAACAATTTAAAGTTAGGAACCCGGATTGAAAATATTTATTCCTTCTTCAAAATAAGGTATTATTTGTCGGACCAACGGCATATATGGTATTGCATTTTCTTGATGTTGATAGAGTTTGCAGAATGACGTCATGACGAAAAGATCTGACATTTCCACTTTGATATCTGCATTCACAAATTGTTTTTTAAAGCTTTCCTTTAAACAATGTTTAATGCATTTTAACGTATACAAACGACGTATGTATCTTAAGTTACAATACAATTGTTAACATTTTTAAAATTCTATCTGAAATCAAATTATTTAAAGAGTTATTGTAAAATAATTTCTCAAGTAACAAAGATGTATACTTGGGTTTACTAGATTTTCTTGCGGGGGTTAAATTAGTAATATCTTTATACTTTTTAACACTTAGGTAAAATCAAATTAAATAAGATGACATGAAAATTAAAACTTAGGTGGTGGAAAAATGTATATTTTTTTAAGCTGCTTATACTCGATGTTTTCAGACCTTTCTGTTTGTTTGAGAATCATATTTGCAAGCTCTTGATATGAAAGAAGTTATTGGTCTCCAGGGCCGCTGAGGGGTTTTCGAAGGCAAAAGTCGACAACGAGACCCCTGCGAGCGAAGTGTGCAGAAAATTTTTGCGACCACGCTCTTTAGATTAGCTTCAATTCGTTCATCTGTTCAAAAAGTTTTGATATTATCAGGCATGATTTTGCTTCTTTTAGTTAATTCAATTCTAAAATGGAATTCATTACTTTATGAGGCCCCTAGACCTCCAGATCCTGGGGCAATTTGCCCCCTTCCCCTCCTCCCCCTTTCAGCAGCTCTGTTTGTCTCCTGGGCTGGATACACGCGGAAGGAGCGGAGCAAGATGGTTTTTTTTGCTGAAACAAAAAAATGGTTATTCATCGACGGAAACTGAAAAAATCGCAATTATGTAGACAGAAGGAGTTCGTATTCACCCTAGTACTATAGGAACGATACTATGTAGCATGAATTGCCTTGGTTCCTATTTTGTCTGCTGTAACTTTCCACCGTTGATGCTACTTCGACAAATCTTATTAACGTGCAGAGAACACGGAGCCAGTGAGAGAGACAGTGTGTTTCCTGTGTAACTCTGGTGTGAACTGAACGGAACTGAACTGACTGAATTACATACAAATTAACATATTTATATATAAAATAAATGTGCTGAATAATTATGTGTTGTGATGATGTAATGATGATGCAATGGAGAAGGAAAGATCTAGACTTGGGAAGAAATCAGCATGACATAGATGTGTGAACGTGTGTAGGTGATGCTGTGAATGACGTAGGTGGATGTCATGGTGATGGCATGAAGTAGGAATATGGCCTAATTTACAATATTAAAATCACTACAGTATTCCATATTGGCAATATTTTCAGTAGGCAAGCGGCCTTGATTTAGCAACCTTACAGTCATGTGCTCGCGTTTCTGTTTCCGATTTTTGTTCTGACAGACGAAAAGCTTCAGTACGTTTCAAAATGGTTGAAAAGCTCAGTACGTTTCAAAACGCTTCAATTCTTAATATTTTGTACCACCAAAAAACTTTAAAAGTAAGAAGGACATAACGTGGGAAAACATCTTTAAAGGGATCTCTCTTCTTCAACTGCAGATTTATTCTTCTATCATTTTGATGTAGAGAAATTTAATTGGAGATTTCTAGCCCTGTTAATTTTGCAGAAATCCAAAAAATGCAAAGTTTGACTCCTAGAGTCCATTACACGGCCACAAAAATATGAAAATTTACTTTGGCCAAGCTGGTGCGGTTCTGCACGTCCATAGAGAGGAGGGCAAGGGCGGTGTACCCATATAAATGCATTTAAAATTGCTCTATATATGGTTCAACTGAGAAGAAAAGATTTTTATAAGTCAAAGAAGCTACACTCTTTTTTTTATAAGAACCAGTAAATTTCAGTTCAGGCTGGCTGTTCTTAATTTTTTCGAAAATCTGAGGCTGGATTGTTCTTAACTTGTTCTTAATCTGATAGGGTGTAAGCAGTGCGAGTGCTAGCTTTTTCGCTCTCAGGAGGTGTTCAGGCCTCATTTGCCAACAAAGTGAGTGAGACACCCTTCATTTGCCGAAAAATTTGAATATTCGACGAAAAGCACCCATAATGGCTAAAAATCCTTGTTTTTGAGAAAAAACGTTGTTCAAAATTGCATTTTGCAGAAGCTCAGCCTCAGCTTGCTCTTAATTCGTTTTTAACTTCTGACCAATTTTGAGGCTCGTGTTCTTATAAAATTGTTCTTATAAAAATAAGAGTGTATTAGTGTTCTAGCCTGGGTTTGATTATAATTTGATACTTCAAACAATATATTCCAAAGCAATGCAAACAAACACTTTGAAATCTTGTGAAAACGGAGCTTTCAGAGTGCTAAGGCAAGCGCGGTGAAGGTTTTAAGTCACTTGCTTAATGGCCTTTCTATTTACTGTTTGATACAGCTGGAAGGGTCTTTCAGTTGATTCATTTATTGCTCAGCATCTCAATTCCACTTTTTCTATTTATTGAAGTTGTTGTTTATTATCATCTAAGGTTATTCCATAAAAAAAAATCCTTAGGGATACCGAGAATTCACGAATCATATTCTAATTTTTCATTGTAAAAAATGAGTAGCCTTTTAGTGAGCTGTCGCTTCAGCTGGATTTGTTTGTGTCCATCTTGAATTGGCCCGCGAGGTACCCGAAGATATAGGACTTATTCTTGCGATTTGTAACAACAAGCAGCTATTGAAGATTCTGATATCCAGTTTTGCAGGTTTGAAAGCAAGAAAAAAAGCTTACTTCAGACGTAAACACAATTCGCCAGCTGGTTCATTTGAAACGAAAAAAGATTGATGGACAGGTGTATACCTTTCATTCACTGACAAAATTGTCTGCTCGATTTTGCGACGATTTGCTAAGATTGGCAGCACGTGGTGTAACTTGACCGTCAAGACTAGGAGGTGGGGGGGGGGGGTCGTCACTATTAGACAATTCGTAGGTGAGGAAAAATTTTGGTGCAATTTCACCTACCAATAGACAATTTTACAGGCAAACTAAGAAATTTGTAGACCACCTGAAGATTTACTGACCAACAAATGAGGAATTTTGGGGGTGTCACTCCCCCTCCAACCCCGTTGGCTACAGATATATAGAAATCTTAATTGAATCAAGACAGGTATTTTGCAGTTGCAATTCAAGCAGCCATACATCATCTTACAAAACAAGTACCTACGCTATATTCATATTACCCTAAGTACTAGAGCTTCAGAGATTCAAAGAATATGGTACCGGGGTAAGGAATTGTAAAGGAGGCTACTTGAACTAACTGAATTACCTCAATTTAGTTGAATTGATTGAATTGAAATTAGTTTGTTTACTTGAATTGGAGCACTTAGCTTGATAGTTCACTTTTAAGTCTTTCTAAGTGTCCCAAGCAATTAGTGATAGTATTTTATGAATTATATTAACTTAGGTATTTCTGTATTACTAGATGATTGATTCATTTTTTTAGTTTTTTTATTGTACTGTCTAAGCATTGTAATTCTTAAAATTTCAATTAACTTCACGAGGTATCTCGCGGACCATTAGAACGAGGTGTGACGTCATCAAAAAATCATCTTTAGAGTTTTCTTAAATTTGACCATATTATCGGAAAGAACGGCATAAAATACCTCCCATTATTCAAAATCAGTTAAACATGTTCAAATTGCGGCGAATCATGGCCAATGAAAAATTCCAAGTTTGCTAACAGATTACTGTTATTCTGCCCTAGTTAAAAAAGTTATGAGCCAAGACCAAATTACAGCGGTTTAATGGGGAAAGCGCCGGTGCTCATGTGGCCATACCTCAGCCAATTAGCAATGCCTTTAACTGATTTTACATATTTAGAGGTATTTCATGATGTTCTTTCGGTTATGGGAACAAAATTGAAAAATTCTTAAAAATAGATTTTTGTTATGTCAGCATTTCGGTACTCTATTCAAGATAAACACAAATAAACCCTGTTGAAGCGAAAGCTCACTCAAAGGCTACTTATTTTTTAATAGGGTATATTGATATCAGCCTACCCATTTTCAGAGCATTGTTCATTTTTCACCTAGCAATTCAGTGTTCTTAGCAAGTAGCAAGCACCAATTTTTAAGCTCTTCGATATAGGCAGTTGATTGAATCGCAGATACAACTTTATGCTGCAAAACAGAGCAAAACAAGGTAATTATCTCAACAGGACATAGCTTGAACGGAGCTACTTAGCTTTAAGAGTTAAGACCCAGCTGTATTCTCCCACGTTCAGAACCAAAGAACGCAATAAGATATGATTATGCTTGAACTGAGTAAATGCCAGATACGTGCAATCAAACACTTTTATCTGAATTAATCGAGTTTTCGATTGATGGATATAGGCAACCCTTGACAGTGATCGAAGACCATAGAGTTAAGTATTTAATGAAGATTGAATGAACTTTAGCAGAATCAATTTCACGAGAGGCGTTGGTCCTTTAATTGATTCCTGGGGCATCGTGGCTGGGGGACAGGAGCACGTCCTTCCTAGCATCCACCATTAGGATATTTTCCAGAAATTTCGTATCTGTTCGGCTGGATAATTTCGGTCGTTTATATAAAGGTATGGAAGTTCAAAGGTACTTTATCAGTATGAGAAAAAGATTGCCAAGACAGATGTAGACAGTCAAACACGCTGTCATTTAACTTACAGTCTGCCTATCCATATCCGTACATTCGCCACTTAAATGATATCCTTAGTAATGACGAAGTAAATTTGCTCCGTTCAGCGAATTTGCTGACAAACCATTCCTAAGTGGATTTCTCACGCACTTAAAAATCATCCATTTCATTTCTTTAGTTTTTACGATATTAATTACCAGTCCTATTGTTTGTTTTACTTTTAATTACAGATACTGATTAATGATGATTATGATTATCCAATGTTCGAATGCGGATCTTGGCCTTTCCTTGACCGACTCATTATAAACAGTAATTGATGGAAAGTGCAAGTTAAACTGAGGCTGCAAACGATACATATTGCTTTCCGTGTCTTTTAGCATCGTCAATTTGCGCACGCGCTTGATGACATCATTGTTTTTAATTTTAAATCCGTTTTGTTGTCGGAAAATTTGCAAGCTGTGACCCTCCTGAGAATCACTACCCAATGTATCCCTGATTGATTCGTCCTAAGTTGATATTTGTTTGCTATTTGTTATGGTCTCTTGTGATGTGCTTCTTCACGTCAGCCACGTAGCTGCAGGGGGGCACAGGGGGCTCTGCCCTTAACATGGCAAAAACTCCTTTTTTGCAATGAAATTTGTTTCCAGGATCGTGCCACGCTCCCCTAACTGGTTCCAATTTCAACAACGTATCCGACGAAACAACTGTTTTCAATTTTTCCTAAATTCAATTACCTTTTATATACTTTTGCAAAATAGTACTGGGCTGATGATAGTTCATATACCGCGGAGGGTTGAGAAAGTGGGAGGGGGGGCTAAAACCGAACTCAAAATGGCCTTAATTGTCGTTCATTTCTTAATTTTTAGCACTTTTAGCAAAAAGTGGGCTACAACCCCCAGCCCCCTGCTCTGCGGTGCCTTTCATTAGAATTCATTCTTAACAATTTCATATTCAATTATTCTCTGTCCTTTTATGATATGTGCATAGACAATAGAGAGGAGAACTTCTATTGACTATGATGTGTGTCATCCAATGAGGTAAAAATAAACACTAGAGTGCGAACTCCCATTGGTTTCCGTTGACGCGAGTGAGGCCGTCATGCGCACGGCTACCATTTTGAATGCATGGCAAAAGACAACAAATAAGTGTGGAGGACGACTGTTTGTGCTACTGGAAGAACAGAAGGAAAAGGCTTTTTTTATTTCATTTTCGACAAAATTGTGCAAATTTAAGCAAAGCAGTGCCGAGGAAGACCTTTTGCAATGATTTCTATGGGAGGTAAGTTGTTTTAACTACATGTCCAATGCACTGAATGTGCATAGGCTTCAGTGCATTGCCTACCTTAATAAACCAAACTAGCTTCGAAGCGAATTACTTTATAAAATATTTCACTTAAAATGAAGGATTTAATATTTGGCGAAAAACTTCTAAACGAAACATTTGAAGCAAACAGCAAAAGCTATGGTTTTTTAAGTTTATGTGTTTTTAAACAAAACTAATTTGTTCATCCGGTGTCGTAAACTTGGTGTGTTTTTCATTACTATCTGCCTTGTGTAATGCTTGGCGTAAGTTTGCATACGCAGAAGGAAGTATTTCTCGCAAATTTTCTTCACAACTTGTGTGAGATGATCATCCTCAAAGACTGGGTCGATTTCGTGTGCATGTTTGGAAAACGATGGAAATAATTTGCTTAGGTTTTCGCCTTGACTTCGTAGCACGCCGTTCGTCATTCTCCGTATCAATCCAACTTGTGAATTGATTTTCATGTCTCCCTTCCTTGTACCTTTAACTCTCTCCCGGAATGATTTCTCACATAATGTGATTAATTTGTGCACCCCAAATGATACTTTTATAAGCCCTCCATTGTTCTTTCTATCCAGAAACAGGGAAAATGGTGCTGTCACATAGTCATGTTCCTCTGACATGCAATTGAGAATGAGGGCTTCAGAACATTGAGAGCAATCAAGCTTTTTGATGATACGACGAACAATGAATCCTGCAATGTAGTATATGATGTTTTCAGAGAAGTTTGACAAGGAAATCCTATCAAGACTCTCAGACAAAGCATTTGCGTCCTCATCAGTCATTTCATCATCATTGCTTGGATATTCGCATATGGGAGATCTATGCTTTGTCCACTTTAGACTGAATAAAGAACCTGTGCAATTCTCATCAAATGACATGACATTAGCCTGGCTCGATGCAACAATTGAATTCTTAAGCAGCAAATTCCTTATGGCATACTTAAACTGTAAGGTGTTTGGATTGTTATTATTACCACCTCGTCCTCGGATACAAGCAAACAGCAACTCTATGTGGTCTTGGGAAAACTTGTAAGTTAATACATAGTTAAATGGCCTTTCTGGTGCAGTTAAGAGTTCCTTTGCAATTGACATAATAGATTTCATTGTCATTAGAAAACCAAGTATGAAAGTTTTGCGTCTACTGAACACAAGCAATTGCCTTTCACTGGATTTCAAGGACAGAAGATACTCTGCTGATTGGGCAAAAGTTTGCTCGATATATTCAAGGTTTTGCAACCTTATTGGGCGTTTAAAGCCTTTGGCAAATGCAAACCGTGAATTGAGGATGTCAAAAATTTTATCAATTGTTCTTATGAAGACAATAGTTGCACTAGCATTTTCAAATTCAGCATGTTTTAAGTCTGTCTTTAAGAATTCTAATGCATTAGCAACTGATGAGCTCAGTGTCTGAGCTGCATATTTTACTTTCATTTTATGCTGCTGCCAATGCACATGGTTTACATTAATTTTGTTTGCCAAAGTTAAACCTTCCTCTTCTTGCATCTTGCATAATTTTTCAATATATTCCCAAGAAATAATATCCCCAGAATTTGTAGAAAATTTCCCATATTCGCCCAATGTATTTCTCGCTAGCTTAACCATGTGGCATGCATCTAGAACTCCATAAACATCATATGGCCTAGTCGGGTGTTGGAAAGAGGCTATCATGCCATTGTAATTTGGTGCGAATGAGCAACCAAGTAACCTAAGTGTTTCAAGGTTAGCAGATGTGCCATCACAAGTTAGTGACCAAACCCTAAAGCCATAATCAGCAACCAAGGACAATGCACTCTTAACTAGTGATGCCTGTATTTGCCCGTTTAACTTATTTGTAAAGAAATATCCTATTGGACATTTCCAGTGACTTCTCAGACCAACAAGAAGAAATGCTAGTGCTTCAGAAGCTTGGTCTTCACTGTTTTCCGGGATGCAACCTCCATAATCAACAAAGCCTGAAAATTTCTGATTGCCCTTGTCATAAATCACTTGCTTCCTTATGGCCATTGCATCTATCATTAAGGCACAGTCAGACATGTTTGTGTTGTTGGCAAGCTGAGCAGCAAGATTTTCTAGAACATCTTTGAAAAATCCAGGCTCACAGTTCACAGAAGACTGCCAATTTCTTAAAGAAGATGGATGTGGTAGGTCAAAGACTTTCCTCATGAATAGATATGCCTTAGGCGAATAGAAATGAAGGGTTAAGGCAAACTTCTTAATCTCCTCGTGGTATCTCTTACCCCCAGCTTTTCGCTTTGAATTCTTTATTTGATTTTCAAACATTGTCAAAGTGAGGCCAGAGAATTGGTCTTTCAGAAGTTTGGCTGGCTCTTCTCTGAGGAGATTTTTGTCTGTCATAGCTTGAATTAAATCATTCAATGACTTTATTTTCTTGTTTTTTCTTCTTAGATTTTGTTGTAGAGTTTTAATCTTCCTTCTAAGTCTTAATTTTGTTGGTGATTGTTTTGTTTCAGCTTTTTTACAATTAAATGTTCCTTGATATTAAATGTGGCATTTTTTGTGTTTTTTGCTGGGCTTGCTTTCTTCTTTACTGGTTTTGCATAGATAATGGAGCGGCGGGCCTTTTTTACTTTTGGTAGTAAATGAGGGGGGAAGTTAAATTTTGATGGAACAGCTGACTTTTTTAATTTTGTGTAAGGCTGACCAGGGGGGACCGTGTAGTCAGTGAGCAAAAAGTGTTCGCTGCAAATGTAGCTGTACTTTGATGGGGCCCACTTATCACGCCTCATAGCTTTAACCCATTGCAAACGGAGTGCTTCATTGGCTGGAAACCTGCAGTATAATGCAATGCATATTAATTTCAACTATTTTTTGTGTTGAAATTTTGAAACATAAAATTACAAAATTTAAAGGATTTTAGATGTTTCGAAGTTTGCTTTATTAGGATTTATTTACTAAACGCTTTTCAAAATCCTCTAGCAAAAGTCATGTACAAACCAATTAATACATACATAAAACTTAACTTGCATTAAAGAAAAGTTGTATTTTCTCCGCCGACAAAAGAATATCAAAACCATTTTAAAGTTCACCATATAGAAATAGGGACGATAAAAAAATTCCCAGCCGCGAGGCTCTTCGCATAGTATGACATTTCACATTTTTAGGCCAAAACATGCATGGCATACCGTACCTATGAAACGCGATAGGTTTTCCGTTTCCCAAAGGATCCATTGAAGGATCACTGCTCAAAACATTTTTGCCGTATCTATTTTGGCATCCGTACGCCGTACACGAAATTACCATTGCGGTTTAGAAACATCAATATTGCCGAAAAGCTGGCGACGCGTAATGACTACCGTACTGCATGGAACTTTTTTGCCATGCATTCAAAATGGTAGCCGTGCGCATGCTGGCCTCGGGCCTCGATTAGGAGTTCGCACTCTAGTGTTTATTTTTACCTCATTGGTGTCATCTGAGTCATCTGGTCAACGACGTTTTCCTCGTTTCCAGGAATTTATTGGGCGAAGATCGTTTCTTATTCGAGGCAGGAGTTGTAGCCGTTGCAGGCAAAGGGAATATCCCTTGTGTTCAAATCGATGTAAAGTGAGGTAATTGGATGCTATAAATTGTTTTGGAAGGCAAGAAGCAATCGCTACCATACCCTTGCTCATGGTAAGTTCTGAACCTCGTTGTTTTGAGTAGTTGGAGATAAACAAGCTTCTTTATTAGCGCGATGTTCAACCGAAGTGGAACCATACCTAGCCTAGCCGTAATTACCTCCGAGATATGCGTCTTGTTTCTACCAAAACAATGGCAAGCATAGTAGTGTAATAAGTCAAAAAAAGTAGGGGAAAATATAAAAAGTATAATTTTAGTTGCAATGACCAAGTTGCAAGCCTACGGTCAGGACAAATTATTTGTTGATGTTGGTCCATTCTTTAACTGGCCTAAATAGTCTCATCTATTAAATTCTTGTCAATAAAATTTCAAGAACTTAATTTGAATACGTACCGTTGAAAAAGAAAATAAAAGTGTTACAAGAAAACTCGTTTTCCATTGAAAAATGAAATTGTAGAGTGATAAACAGGAAAAAAAGTAGCTTTGGCCTATGACCACAATATTAGGGTGGGTTACCCCTGGGTGCATTTCATGTCAACTGTACGCCAACCAGGTTGGAAAACTGATATGATTTTCCTGACGTGTTGTTGCGACCAATGGCACATTATCAGCTGCAACCTGTGAGGGGAAGCATTTGAGCTGCAAACAACAATGCCCATCCATGATATACAACTATAGTGTACAATATTAATTCATTTATATTTTGGGTCACTACAAGTCTGAGGTGCGAGCAGACGAAGCCCATTGTCGCTGCAAGTATATGCAAGTTTTCCAGCCTGGTATGCTAATGGTCCACCACCGGGGCATTTGTTTAGGTATGCCAAAAATATGAGCAGTTAGTAACTGTGAATATTGTGCTCCAGAAAAACTGAATAATAGAGAAAACTGTGGTGTATGAGTCTTAATTTTATACTTTTTCATGTTAACTATGTATGTGGCTTTATTTTTAGTACACCAACTAACAAAAACTTTACTGGTTTGTATGCCGAACACTGAAAAAAACCTGAGTGTTCATTGACAATCTTCGGGCCTAAGAACATGGAATGCGCCCTGGGGGCTACAGGTATACCCATTGGGTACTAACATGTAAAGAAAGTTTAAACAGCGACCTTCAAAACATTTAAAAACTTCCAAATATTGTGACAAACATTAAGAATCTGCAATCCTCTTTATCGCTAATATTATGTATAAGATAAGTTATCTCACTTAGTTTTTCATATTCTGCATTGTTTAGTGTCTCAGTTATAGTTAGGGTTATGTTCAGGCATGGCTAGGATTAAGGCTAGAGGTACCATAAAGAAATTGCCCAATTGGTCGTAAAACAAATGCTTTTAGTCAGTTAAATAATCAAATGAATAATTTCATTTTTTATTTATGATACTCATATGGCCCCTCAGTTTCTAAATTTTCACTAGCTTTTCACTGTTTCGAATAGGTTGTCATTTTTAAAGAAGATACAATGAAACTTTTTTTATATGAAAACTGAGCCAAAGAAAAAAGTTTAAACAGGTTTTCATTGTGCAATTATCCTCCCTTCCACTGCTTATGTTCAAGCGAGCTATCCATTTACAAAATGGCTGGAAAACAAAGGGGAAAATGATTCCAAGAATAACTCTTGATTACTTGTGAATTGTAGGAAATTTAGAAAAAGGATACACATTTGGGCTTGCTTAGATACAATTTTATGAAAATAATTGCTATTCTTTATTTTATTCATATTATTCATGTAATCTTACACTTAAGTATTTTGTTTTCATTATTTGTTTATTGCATTTTTTTGGTGATATACTATAATTAAGTAATAGGCTCTGTAGACCTTGATTGATACTGTTTTGAAAAAAGTTTTTTCACTTGTATTTTTCATGCTCAAAATGTGCTTTACTTTTCTAAGGATATTTTTTACATGTGATGTCAAGCTTTCAAAGTTATATTGGCATAGCAAAAACACTTAACAGAGATATGGCTGCAGCACAACAACAAAGAAGCATGTCTGGACAATTTTCAATCATGGATGATGATGATAATTGCACAGAAGGTTATGATGAAGATTTTGACCCACCAGCTACTGCTATCATGGAATGTCCCATTTGCTTGCTGGTGTTAAGAAAGCCTGTACAAACTGCATGTGGCCATCGATTTTGCTACAACTGTATACTAAAGGTTATAAGGTGAGCAGTAATTAATTTACCTTAAATTTTGATAACTATACAACCTGGGGTGGGGGGGGGGGGTTCTGTTAGTTGAACTTTCTGGGGTTTAAGATTAAAACAGCAGATGTTCTGGGGTTTAAGATTAAATCAGCAGAAGCCAGTCCCTAAAGGGGGCTAAAGCTCTCTGCAAAAAACTACCACAATTATGAAGAAATTGTATCCATTGTATTTGTTTTTGAATTTTTTAATTTGGTAACAGAATTCAAAGTAAATTAACTTCTTTTCTTCACTAAGACATCATACCATTACTTGTCATTAATTGAATTAGCATGTACTACACATCCTCCTTGGTGGCACATGGCAGATATTTATACCTGTTTTATCAAGGGATGAGATAGAAAGCGAAGATTTAACTATCATTTAGATGCACAGTTGAATCCTGTTATTTCCTGCCCAGGATAACTCAGAGTCTCACTAAGTCTAGATGATTTTCAATTCCCACTCGATCTTCCTGCCTTGTTTAGCTCAAATGTGTCTGGAATAAGTCAGACATCTTCCCTTCCCTCTTTGAATGTCTTACTTGGCATGATTTCACTGTAAGCAAGATTTGCATTCGGGTGCATCAACTAAGATGGCATATCAGCTTGGCATCAGACTGATGGCATATATAATGTCACGGACTAACAGATGCATTGATGAGATAAAAGTTGGTTGAGAGTGTGTTGAATAGGAAAATGGCATGCAATCTGCTTTTCAAACATGCTCAATTATTTGTCATGCCTGGAAAGCAGGGCCACAGGAAGAGGAAGAGGTTCTGAGGCCCTGGGACAACAGTGAAAGGTCAGACTATAATTTTTGCAACCACAACCTTTAGGTTAGGTAAAAATAGGTTTTAAAATATTTTTTGCAGTCATTTTCATACAATAATATAAAACTGGTTCCTCTTTATAAGGCAAACGTTGATCAATTCCATTCTTAAAGTTGCAATTACTTAATGAGGTCCCCTGAACCTTGAGGCCATGAAAGCAATTTGCCCTCTGGCCCTCTGCTGGCCCTGCTTGAAAGATTCAGGAATTATTATCAGGTGGATGTATTATTTCATTTTCTGTATTCTATAATCTTTCTAGAGAAGGAAGAAAAAAGTGTCCAGTTGACAACGAGGACATCAGTGAAGATCAGGTTTGCATTTCCATAATTTCCTTTGTTAGATGGGTAGAAACTTTTCCAATCATCAAGCAGCCAAGCTAATGGGGTGCAGACTGTCTTTATTTGTTTAATTCAAATGGAGCTTTAACTTAAGCTCCTTTCATTTGAAATCTTAGAAGCAACTCAATTAATTCTGCAGGTTATGTAAAAACTATGTTTCAGGGTTGGATAAAAACTATAGTGTTTTATCGTAATCTTAATTGATATTATCAATTTTTGAATTATTTTAATTTGTTGTATTATTTATAGGATTTAATTGTTTAAACGGTTTTTTGGGGGTACAGAACTTGAAAATGGCTGTGAAAAAAGCAAACATTTTATAATATATTGGCTAAAGGCTCTCTTCGAATCCAGTGGTAATTTTTCTTTAGGCTCGTGGCACTGATTGGTCAACTATACCAGTCTTGTGCTTGCATTTTTCTGATTGGCCTACTTGGATCCACAAATAGGTTTTTTTTTCATCATATTCTCTTGGACCCTTATTCTGACGTTTTATGCTCTGAGGAGTGTCAGACAAAAAAGCTTTTAGCCAATATGTTATAAAATGTTTCCTCTTTTCAAAGCCATTTAATAGTTTGCATTATATATACATGTCAGCCTAAAGTAAATAATAATAATTATTATCATTTCATTTATTTTCATTATTTCTATTATCTTGTTTTGTTATCGCGTACATTTTGAGTAGACCTCTAAAGCATTAAACACGAAACTCGAATTTTTCCCATAGCAGAAAAGCAATACTCAGCTATCAAAAGTTCAAGCAATAACTTGTGGTATAGAAACAGTCCCATTTTCAGAATGTGAATTGTGGAAAACTTAACCCAACGAATGGAAAAGCTCTCGAGAGTCTTAGAGACTCGACAGCCTCTTTAAGCAATATATAATTATCTTTATTTTATTATTTAATAATTTTATTTTAATTTAATGGGCTTAAATCAGCTTTTAGCTATTGTTATTATACATTGTTCTTGCCTACAGTTAGTAAACTTGGTTATGTCGTATTATAAGATAATATTAATTAGAGTTGCAATTTAAGATAGTCCTGTTCTGCATAGCACAGCGCGTTGAGCCCAGCCTATAAGGCATTGAGCATTTTATAAGAGACCTCAACCATAATCTTTGTTATTTTTGTTTTAGATATACCCCGATACGTTTGCCAAACGTGAAATTGGAAACTTAACCGTTAGATGTCGGAACTTTGGTGATGGAAAGTGTCAGTGGAAGGGTCGACTGTTAGAACTGACGGTAGGACTTACATAAATATATTTCAATTTTTTCTTTCTTTATTTGAAGTTGATACAACCTCTAGCTATACTCAAGCTAATTAACTAATTTAAGTTACCAACACTAAGGATAATGTAAATCAAATATAACCGATGTTGCATACGTATTCCTTGCAAAGGTCACAAGTACAGTTGAACGATGAAAAATCTGAGATTTTATTCTTGAAAATTTGTAAAGTTTGGGCAAATTTGAATTATGTTCTATATCTGTATGACACGGTATGTAATCATTATATTTTGTAACGTGGCTCCGCTGAAGAGTTTCTTAAGTTATATGAACATTCTTAATGGAAAATGATTCATCCATAATGGTTGGATTCAAACCGTTGAATGCTTTATGAATTTCTCTTGCAAGATATTGTAAATATTTCTTATGAGAAGTTACTGATTTATTCTTTATTAAAAGTTGTTTGAAAGCTGATTTTCGAGAATGGTTATAGGTCTTCGGTTTTGCAACCTGACAGAACTCCAGCATTTAAGATAACAGGTGCTGGCAAACATGGACATCAGACGGCAGAAAATGTTTCTGAAATTTTAGCAACTACGTGTTGGGTTCATGCCTGTCTAATTACGGGATTGCCACCCGGTAGCATTCTTTATTGGATGTCATATAGGCTGGGGACCGTTCCCTTACGCTAGGCTACCTGTGACACATTAAGACAGTAAAAAAACTCCTCGAAATGTATGCCACGAGGTTTTTTGGAGTATCCTATTCTCGCTTACTCTTGACGTCCTCTAACGAAAAAATAAAATTTAAATCTTTCCTATTTTTTTTTATTTATTAGAAATTTTGAAACACGAAATAAGTGCTATAATTGCTCAAATCAGCTGAAGCATAATACCTGTATTTAACTGCTCATCCATGTTTGATATAGTGTTGCCTCGTTTTTCTTACTAGCCTCATTTGCGTGACTGTATGTATGAGGTGGTTCCCTGTACGAATGCATGTGGCCAAAGTTTGCTGAAAGCTAACCTCCAAAAGCACTTAAAAGAAGAATGTTTAAAAAGAATTGAGACGTGTACATATTGTCAGAAGAAAGTGGTTTTCAAAGACTTTGATGTAGGTTTGCTCATAATTTGTTTGTAGCCTGACTCATTGATATACGTAAAAATTTAGATTTTGTTAAATCTCTGGCGCGTTGTACAAATCTTGGTTATATTGCTTAAAGAGGCTGTCGATTCTCTTTAGACTAATGCGTACTATTCCTTTCCTTTCTACACTAGCTCCCACATGCATGGCCGCTGACAGCCTAATTGCTGGCCCTAGGTCAGCTGCAGATACTCGTTCAGGCAGCCTTTTCACTAACCCGGTTTAAAACAAAGCTAATCTGAGTGGATTATCTTTAACCCGGGTATCTTTTAACCCACCTGTGGGCTAGTGGGAACGCCGAATAATTCGCTGCGAAAAAGTAGAAACCATTCCTACTTTTTCGCTGCGAAATTTTTCGCCTTGTAAAATAAACCAATCAGAACAGCAATTGAAGACAGCTAACACAAACCCAACTAGTGAACAAGAGAGAAACACTCTTTTCACAACAAATCTTTGTCGTCGACGTGAAGATGCTATGCAAGGTAAACATATCTAAATCAAAAAGTATGCAAAACGACAGAAAACTACGCAATGGTTCAAACAACAACATGGGTGAAGAATGTGTAACCTATGACTAGGCCTAAACAATGCTGGGAAAATCCCGCATCTATAACATAAACAATGGAAGGGGACGTTTCTAGCAACAGGCGTCTTTGGTGCAATAAACGACAAAAGCTCCACATATGTAGTTGGCGACATTCGAAAGTATTTATTCCTGGTCATGTAAGCGTAAGTCCCTTACCAAAAGATGAAACTCCCCCTTCTGCAGACGTTCTGAATAATTTTCGAACCAAGTACTCCTTTCTTTGCTTTTTTGCTCGCTTTTTTTTAATAACAACAATCTTCGAACAGACGCCATTCTCTTTGACATTATTCGCGGTGAATTCGCAAAAGAAATTCTGCAAGTGGAAATTAAACTTCGAATTCGCAGCGAATTCGCTTCGCGCGAAAAATTCGTCTCGTGTAAATCAGGCTTAAGGTAACCGCATGTGGCCCGCGGGTCGCGGGTTGCCGACCCCTGGTTTAAGGTGTCAGTGGTTTACTTGAAGGGAGTCTCGAACCTCTTGATTTCAGTCAAAGAGAGTTTGCGTGGCTCTCTTATTATCACCCCGAATTAGAAAAGATATGCGTCTATATGCAGTTCCCTCTCATCCCCATTTCCTCTTTTTGGGAAAGCAGTCATTCTCACCCCGTTCCCTCTTTTTAGAAAACCATTCCCTCTCGCCCAATTTCATCTTTTTGGAAAACCACTCTCTCTCGCCCAATTTCATCTTTTTTAAAAACAATTTCCTCGCACCCCATTTCCTCTTTTTCCACAACAATTCCTTCGCACCCTATTTTCTCTTTTTGGAAAACCAGTCATTCTCGCCCCTTTCCTCTTTTTCGAAAACCATTCCCTCTCACCCCAATCACTCTTTTTGCCTATGGGCGTGGGCTCAGTTGCCTTTCTGCTTTTGATTAAAATAACAGATTCTGATCTTCTTTGAATCAGGCAAAATTTCAAATATTTTTTTAGCTTATCTTAAAGTTAAGTTTTATTTTTTAATTAGTTTGTGTTTACAATTTTCATATTTGCAGGAACATGCTGGATCTTGTCCAGAATATCCAGTACATTGTCCAAACAACTGCTCGGATGATACTTATCCTAGAAAAAAGGTATTTTTTATCCTTTAGTTAAAATTAATCGAAATGAACTGAAGTTAAAGTCCAGTTAGTAAACTGTTTAGAATTAACAATAGGCTATGTGGCGAGTTTATGACTATGAAACAGTGAGAATTAGTCTTACGTTTCCGAATGGATACGTAACAGTAGGTCTATTGTATACTCCAATCAATGGGGAATTTAAATGGCAATGCATTGGGACATTGTGCCTTTAAACTGGAGACAGGAATCATAGCCTTTGCAATTAAATTTCTTTGTACATTGGAACCTCCATCAACGGACACCTCTATACAATTGACACGTCCAAACAACGGACAGATGTTTGAGTCCCAAGAAAAAGTTAAAAAAAGATGACACCTCCATACAGCGGACAGCTCTCTACAACGGACAATAACATTGGTCCCACTGGTGTCCGTTATATGGAGGTTCCACTGTAATTTCAGATCTGGCTATCTAATAGGTTATGGTGAAAGATTGATAAATGGGTTGAATTGGAAGTCGAGTTAGCTTGAATACACTAGTTTTCACGAATAAGCATCCAACACCTCTTAATGTTTTGGAAAATTTCGTAACAAAATGTTTTGGAGAGTTTTTTATGAGTTACATTTTTTGCGACGATTTTTGCGAATTTTGACATTTTTAGTCCTATGTATAATTTGCTGCAAAAATTGTTTGTTTCACTTTAGCAATTATTGCGGAGATAAAGACATGTCATTTAAAATTGGCCGTGAATAAGACTGATTTATTAAATAAGGCCGTGATTTAATGACAAGACAATAAATTTTTTGTGTTTCAAATCCTGTGCTAACCAGTCAACCACATTGATCTAAATCCACGACCTTCAAAGTTCTGAAAGTTCATTGCTTCTTTGCTCTGATTGCTAAGTTTCTTAATTTTTTTGAATATCCATTACCTGTTTTTTAAAATAAAGTTTCACATTAAAAGTTTGGCTCAATAGCTAAACAGTAGTTGAGTGTAGAATACTTGGTGCTGTGATTTCCGGATTTCACAATATTACTGGCTGTTGGAGGAGTTAAAAAATGATTAAGCGTTCTAGCCCCTCTTGATGAAGGAAATATTCCCCTACCGAAACATTTTATATACCAGATTTCTTTATTAGATATGAAAGTAGGATTCCAATTTACATGAATAAATACTATTTGTTTATTTGCCTATTATAAGATATGAATAAAGAATACAGAATTTTGCTCAAACTGGTGCATGGCTTATAAAGAATTTTAGTTTCATTATATTTTGAAATAATGAAACTTAAATAGTGAATTTAAGTATATTTTAAAATCCCTATTGCATTTGCTTAGACAGGTACAAAGAAGTGACTGTTTTAGCTTTGAACTTTTTTGGCAGTAAATTTCCCCGGGTTTCTCTTTCCTGCAAATAAAATAGCAAAAACTATGCTTTGGGACCGGTAATTTTGTTATGAACATCAAAAGTTTTTGTAGGGCTCTTAAGTTGGAGACGTCGCTTCTTGTCTCCGTATGTTTTAAAGCCACATCTTGTAGCCCATTTGGGGACAACGTCAATCTTTAAATCCCCACCCCCTTGAGGACCCATCATTAGTATTCCATGAAATGTACTTTCAAAACTCCATTCTCGTTTGACACTATCATATATACCCATAATTCATTTTTATGCATTTTCATTTTCTGTCTCGACCTTTTAGTTTCATAAGGGTTAAATCTTAAAGTTTAAAGGCAACAGTTATTTTCCCGCACTATCTACTGATTAAATCTTAGTTTAATCCAGTTGTTTTACTCATTTGATAGACATTAATGTCAGTTTCATCTTTTTCCTGCAGCTTGACGAACATTTGAAATTTGTATGTGTTCGAGCAGTGGTGCAATGCCCCTTCAATGTTTTTGGTTGTAAATTCGAAGTAAGTATTAAAACCATATCGATCACTTTCTCGGTATTATGTAGCCAAATTTTGCTATGTAAAAGGTGGGATATAGAAAAACAGCTAAGTAAGATTCTGTTGACCAGGGCGAAATATTAGCTAATTTTGTTAATACAGTTTCTCGCAAAAAGCTGTTTTTATTTCAATCTACTAACCGTGGATGGTAGAGAAGAATAAAGAATCTAAAATCTGTTTGCTGATTATAAATTTCTAGAGGCAGTTCTCTCATATGGGTACGGGGAGCGTCCGTGTTTAGGCCTCTTCGTGGCGACTGTTGATAAATCTAAATAAGATGTATAGGTTCAGCCCTTATAATGACATTTGAAATACAATCGTTTTGTTACCAATGTTTTAGAACAAGAAGTTGTGAAATATATTGCTAGTTTTCTATTTTGTTGGTTTTAAGATTAATGATGGTGGGCTGTTTTTCGTGAGCTTAGTACAGTCCATGAAGCATTTTAGTGATAGGTCGAACAAAATGAGTCTGCTTTCTAACAGATGATAAAGGGGGTTGTATCCATGGGGCCCACTGACCCCGAATCCCTCTATTTCGAACAGTCCCTCTAAGGCAAACAATTATCTCCACGATAACAACGCAATTTTTACCTTGGACAACACAAAACATTTATTAAACTTTTTTCATAAGAATATAGTTAATAAAAATTCTGGGGCTCGAAAATGCTACATTTTTATCAAAGGTATGCGTTTTATCACAATTTTAAACTTTCTTTTTATTTCAGGTTTCATTAACACAACAGCAAAATATAATCTTAAAGATGTTTTGAACTGGTGCTAGGACTTGCCTCTTTTCCATTACATTAAATGATTTACTCTCGGTGTCGTTTGCAAATACTTTAAGACGAAATTTAGGCCCAAAATTGAATTAAGAATGTTGACGCTCAGCATAACTAAGGGGGTCTTATTTTTGAATTATGAGAATCCCTTTTTTATTTGCAGGGGGCTCGTGCTGATGTCAGCCAACATTTCGAGAAATCGCTAATGCTGCATATCAGTGAGTTACTTGCTAATTACACGGCACTCGCTGGCAAAGTGGACAAAGAAATTGTTCCCGTGAAATCTCTTCAAAAAGCATCTGTACCAGAGCTGTCACAGAAATTGGTGGAAATTTCAGGAAAGGTACTGCGTTGTTTCCCCTGTACGGTAGATCCTATTTCTCTAAATGGACTGATTCCCTACAGCATAGAAGCAAGGGGCAAAGGCACGGAGATAGGGTACAGAATATTATCATGTCATAATTTCATTTAGGTAGTTGCCCCTACAAGTGTGTTAGCGTTAGGTGATTGGTGAAGTGAACCAGTTGTTTTAGTACGTTGATTCTATTTTCAAGGGGGTATGTACGTGAAAGTAGCATGCTTCCAGGGGGTATAGCTCGACCAACTTACTAATAGGTTTTTGTAAATCAGTCAAGTAACAGAACAGCTGAATTCATCTCAGCATCTCCTCCGCAGTGTAAGAGATTTTGCATGCTGCTGCATTCTACCTGCACACTCTGCCTATAGGCCAGTTCTCTTCCTTTGCACAGATTGAGTCAGAACTTATTATGCGATTTTGCCATCAATATTATTATGGATTGTGGATGTAGAAATAACCAACAATAAGAATTGGTGAAGGATTTCATATTTGACATCGTTTTTCCGTTTCGAAAATCACCTAAATATTTAAATGAACAGACTTTTAGATAGAAATCATAAGGACAATAACAACGTGTCTCTTACTTTGAATTTCAGGTAGATGCTTTGCAGGCTGGGGTGATAGATGCCAAAGAAAGAGGAGACCAGGGAATCCAGCTCGCAGAGTTGTATTACTCTAATCAGAACAGTGTTTTCAGTCAACTCAAGGAGAGTGTGAAAACATTAACTGAGCGTTTTGATGCACGAGAGTTTACAATAGCTGAAATACAAGCAAAAGTTTGGAACGGTAATTTTATTTGGAAGATCAACAATTTCGATAAATTGTTTCAGCAAGCAAAGTCAAATGAGGTCCCAGCAATTCACAGTGTTCCATTTTACACTGGTATACCAGGTAATTAAAGCAATATTCCTCTGAGTGTTATGCATCAATATGAGGAGGATCTGGGTAGGAGCAGGACAGGAAGCCTATGGCTGGGGTAGGGGTGGGTACCGTAAGAAGTTTATTACAAGTAAAGATGGGGTCACACCTGCTCAGTACCCCCTCCCCCATTAATGTTGATTATAAACTTATGTTTTTGCCTGCACCACAAATCGTTCAAGCAAAAGCATAAAAAATTTAGAAAATTGAAAGTTCAGTTTAGCTCAGTTTATAATATTATAGACAATTTGAAAGACCACGTGTCTAAACGTAGAGTCCAGTGGTGAGTTTGATTGGTCAAACTTGTACCATCATTGCACAAAAAACCAATCAGTTTAACAAGTTTTGAGTTCCGAAAAATTGTCATTTCATTAACAAGAGAGCGTGTTCTAGCATGCTTTGAACGTTTCTGTCAGCTGATTTAAAGTATAGTAAAAGGGGGAATAAACGTGGGACCCTCTCAATCCGCAAAAGAAGCATTGTGATTGGCGCAAATGCTCTTTAACTCCAAGGATGCGTAAATGGTCATTCATTAATCTCATTTATTCGTTTTTGAATCACATAGTACTAGCTGACTGATAGTTTACCATCTTTAACACCAGGATACAAAATGTGTCTTCGAATAAATCTCAACGGCGTCGACTCGGGGGCATCAACACACGTTTCAATGTTCATCCATTTGATGCAAGGGGAGTTTGACTCAATACTGCAGTGGCCGTTTCCGGGGCAAATCAAGCTGATGGCTGTTGACCAGTCAGAAGAAGAACAGGTTCACGTAACTGAAACGCTCCTCTCAAGGCCTAATTTACAAGCATTCATAAGGCCGCGAACACCGAGAAACCATAAAGGTTACGGGTATGTTGAGATGATTTCTCATATCGTACTGCATAGCCGCGAGTATATAAAAAACAATTCAATGATTGTTCATGTTTCTGTTTCTTTAAATGACTGAAAGTATTTTGTGCAATGTATTATGGAATTCTTCGTTTCATGTCGTACATAACAAATATGTGGTTCCATCAGCATGGAAATTGGCCCAAGATTCCCCAAGCTTAGTATTTCAGAACTAAGGCAATTTTGTCGTTTTTTATGTTTCAATTCTATTGGTAAATCTTAGAAGTGATCACACGAAGTAAGCTTATTTTTTTGTAAAAACCAGTACCCGTCAACGTCCAATTGTACACAATAGCTATGGAGATCACATGAATCTATACTGGTCATGCCAAATGCACAACGCTAACCCCCCCCCCCCCCTCCCACAGAGGACACGTTTATCATGATTTGATGGCATAATGCTCATTTTTTGCCATTTTTAACTTTGAGATGACGCTAAATGTGCAACTACTTTCCACACTTCCACTTTGCTTAATTCAGAGGTTTAATTTTTCTTGCCCATTTCAGATTTCAAGGAAATTTGTATATGTTTAAGGCACTGGAAAAATTCTGTAAAGATCCTTTCAAAAATTTGCTCAAAAGTCTCCTAAAATTTTCATAAAATCTCAAGAAATCCAGTTGAGCAGTTTGCAGAGCATTTTGACAAAGTCTTTGGTGCCTATAAATTGTTCAGTTTTAGTTGAATATAGATATTTTTGGTGCACCATTAAAGATACCTTGTCTGCGACTTAGGTGTCCCATTGTCATGCTCTGCATTCTGGAGTTGAGCCAGTCAATATCCCAGTGTTATGAAATTCAGGGTTTGTCAACACAATCAATGAACTTTGAGAAAGGCTAATGAAATCAAATGAAACTTTTTTGCTACACTCCAAGGCTGCCTTGTTTTAATTGTTCTGTTTCCAAAGTGGGTTTTCAACGCTCCAGGGTATTGGTAGGAGAAAGGATAAACATTTTTGACTTTGTAGATACTGATTTTGGTTCTGTAATGAACTTCTGTAATAATTATTTGTAGTTTTCAGACTTAAATAATTTTTTGCATTTTATTTGATCAGATTTAAATGTTTTAACAAGCTAAACAATTCTTTAAACCTCCTTCAGGAATTTTATGCATAAGTATGTTGGCTTCAACATTAATTGTGATTTGCCACCAACTGGTTGGAAAATTACCCTGGAAAGAGGTTTTTAACTTTAATGGAGCTATGATTTCTTGGTATTGTCAACATCCTTAAGTTGTGATCATACAAAGCCCTTCCTTTTAATACGATTCAACAAAATAAAAATAAGGCCTTTTAAAATCTGTCTAAAATTCAATCATTTACCCAAAGCTGCATTAGCTATTTTATGCTGTACTCCAGTGGCGGCCTGGCAGGGAGGCCAGGGGGTCAGGGCCCCCAGCTAACTTTTTTATAGGGACGCCAAAGCTTGTTTAGGGCGCCGAAAACTCGACAGAAGTTTGATACGACCGACTTGTCTGGTTATTAGTTCTCTAGGAGATCAGCAGAGACAAAGAAGACCCCTTAAAATTCAAATCTTTATTGGGGTGCATGCCCCATACCCCGTAGAACAGTCTCACTTCAGGGCACGTCATGGTGCCCCTTTAGTACTGTATTATCCAGAAAAACATTTGTACAGTTCGCATGGGCGCAAAAATTAATCAATTTTTTAGAGCAGTTTCAGGAAACTTACTGTTAAATTCTTTTGTGTGGAGGTCATAGCACTCATGGGGCACACAAATATACTCCGAAGACAGTCGGTGTTTAGGGTGTCCGGACTCATGCCGCACCCCCTTCTATGGAAAATTTTGAGTTTCAAGGAGTCTCTTTGGCTCTGCTGGCCTTCAGAGACCTAATCAAGAGACATTTCGTTTGTTTAATTGCTTCATCCTAGATTAGTTCGCATGTTATCTTAAGTCACTTCCACGAACGTTCAGTTTTAGGTGCACAAGATGACAAAAAAAACCCTAGAAAGTGCATCCAAAACTAAAACCTAATGAAACCAGCTCTTATTATGTTTCTTCAAAAAGGATAAATTAAACAGATTACTTTTAACTTAAAACATTGACTTCGTGTTTCTCAGAGATGCTGGGGAATGGGGCGCAGGGGGTCAACTGCCCCTGTTGCTTTTGATAGGATGGGCAAGGGGACCAGAGTGCCCTTTTCATTTAAGTGCCCTTGAAACCAGCCATTTTTAGTAATCAGATAGATTTGTATTAAATTCTGTTTGTAGTGTCTAATTCATGACGACATTTCTCAAAACTTGTAAAAAAATTCCTGATGCCAAAAGATAGCCAATGTTCAATTTTTTCCTGGTACAATTTACTTACATTGATCGTTATTTCAATGTTCAAGATGCCTACAGAAGATCGAAATAAAATGGCACATACGAAGGAATTAGTAGAAGCTGAGAATTGTCTCTCGAATGCCCTTTTACTCAAGCCTGCCCCCTTGCCCCTTGGTTGTTCCAGCGCCGCTGATGTTTCTAACCAGTAGGTACTTCAGGTTTCTTTTTCAAGGGCCATGCATTGATTTTGACAAGAAAGTTGGGTCGAGCCTAATTTTCTTAACTGTTGCGTCTTGTTTGGTCTTTAATAAAATTTCTTTAAAGTTTGATGAAATATTTACTTCATTTTGTATCATCAAATGACAAAATCATTTCTAGCACCTTTCACTTGTGACATAGTGAATTCAAAGATTTGTTAGAAAGGGCGCCATTTTGCTGCTGGCCCCTCCAGGCGAAAACGACCAGGCTGCCACTGCTGTACTCATCAATGTTTCAATCAGAAAGGAGACCAATTTGTTATAATATTATACCTTATTCATTTGAAACAGTATTCTGCAGACAGGAATGTAGTTTGCATATTTAGGCCTACTGAAAGACAATGATTGCCCTCCAAGTGCTATTGGCCTCTTTTCTTTCCCTTCTCATTGAGCAAACATACTTCCAATTAAGTAGTTCTAGTTTAAACAGTATGTAAAAATGCTTCAGTGCACAATAGCTTTCTTTTACAACAGCCAAAATTAAAGATTAGCACAGCTTGTTTATTCTCTTATAGTCATTGCAGCATTGTAGTCAAAATCTAATCTGTTGGCAAGCAAATTATAGATGTGTAAGATTGAAACAAGCAGTTAGTTTGGTTTTAAAATGGTTTTGTTTGTCTGAATACAAATATACCTGAAATATGATTGAATTTTCTTATGTTATTAGTCGATTTTATGAAAGGTATATTCTTGACATGAAGTCCCTTGTGTCCCTTGTGTAAAGTTTAAAGAATCTGCAAAAAGCTTCTCCTTGTGAATGCTAAATATCCTTTTTATGTACATCATAGCCCCAATCATAACCAGCAACAGCTTTCTGCAATTCCATTTTTCACAGATGTATTTTCATCTTGGTGAACCTAGCCTGCGTGCAAACTCTACTGTTTTCAACTCTGCTCCTCTGTTTCCTTTTTCTATCTTTCTGTTGAGTTGAATTAAAAATTTATTGTTTGGCTCCCAGTAGAAACAATAAATTGTTAATTCAACTTAACGGAAAAAAAGAAAAAGGAAACAGAGGGGCCAAGTTGAAAACAGTAGAGCTGCATGCAGGCTAAGTGAACCAGTCTATGCTCAGTAGCATGTGCTGCAACCCAATCTCTGCCTCTCCTTTGTTTGGAAATCTTTCCAGTTCTATATTTCCAGGAAATCTGCCCAGTTTGAAATCTGTTTTGGTCCCCTTTTCACCTCTCAAAGACAGCTTCAATCACTCATACAAGTAATCCAGAGTGATAGCACTGTATTGTCAAAGTTCCTAACTTTCAGGAGGAGAAGGCAGACAGCTTAGTGGGGAGACATCTGACAAGTTAGTGTAGAACTAAAATGCATGATCACTTGTTGCAGGGGCACTACCATACTGAGGTGTTGCATTCATCAGTGAGGATACCTGAAAAAGTTTTAGTTTCATTTTATTTTATGTATTTTGATTTAACATGGAAAACTGAAAAATAAAAGCACATGATAATGGACAACAGACTAAGGCCCTGTTCATATGGGAATGATTTTGTATGATTCTGTGTCATTGCATTCCAAAAATTGAAACCCTCATTTTGTGTTCACTCAAGAACTCTTGGAATTGTACTGTTATTTCCAAAAATTGGAACACACTCAAAAGTAATAGAAAAAGTGAAACAGCATATAATTGTCACAATTTGTTCTGTGTGAGCAAGAGAACTGGTCTTTAGAACAAAATGATTGCTGATTTGGCTCACACTTGCACTGTTAATATAAAAATGCAGGCATGGGAAGGAATAGTAAACTTGGTTTTCAACTTTTAACAAAAAAGTGGACTGGAATGATTGAACATTCCTATGTGAACAGAAGAAAAACTGGCACATAATCATATCACTGTTCTAAAATTTGGAATGTTATTGGAACAGTAATTGTTTCCATGTGAAGGGACTAAATAAAGAAGTAGCTCTAAAAACCCTATACTAATCGTGAGAAGAATCTCTTTAATAGAAAACAAAATATTTATCTTTAAAAGGAACACTGAGCATTAGGAATTCATGTGCAACTGGTTTGTGGTTTTTTTAGCTTCAAAATTGAAGATATCTAAAATCATGAAATTAATTGAGTATATTTCAGAAGGATCTCATTGATGTTTGAAATTGGCATCTTATCATATGTATTACCTGCTTGAATTTAGCTCTAACTGTTTCTAAATCATCAAAAAGACTTTGGTCCTGTGGATCCAAACCCTTATTTTCCATCTTCAGTAGTTTTGTTTTCATTTGCTGCAAAACTTTGACCAATCTTTGGCTATGTTTGAAATCAAATAAATTTTACAAAGGTCACAGCTATAGAAGGGCCTTAAAAATTATCATTATAAGATTTCAGAATTAAATGCCAGTAATCTTTATTTATTGGGAAGTTGTCAATATCTGAAAGTAGTTAACCAATTTAGCAAGAGCTTTTTTTCTGAAAACTCAATTTCCTAAGAGATGTAAGGTATTAAGAAAAATCTTTTAGAATATCAGAAAGAAGTCAATGAAACCTAATTTGTGTTGAAAATCTAAATCTAATCCACCTGCAAATCTAAAATGGTGTTGAAGATTAGTGAGCAAAAAGAGGATATGCCTATTTTGATAATATAAATTAATTAATTAACATAATAAATAAAGACACAAGGCTGTTATAAAATGTTGTTTTTCTAAACCATTACAAGTAAATGAAAAGGCATACATTTAAGGTGATGATTGGCAATAAAAAGGCAATATAACCACTAGTATTTTATTCTAAATCACTTTAAGAAGTTGTTCCTTATTCAAGAAATGTCTTCTGGGTGGATTGTAGTTTTTTGTAAAATAAAACTTTTCAGTAAAAAGTTGCACTAACCTTCCACAATCTTCATCTTGTAACATAAGCATAGTTGAACAAAACCCATGATAAAAGCCGACCTATAAAAGAAGTTGTCCAGCTACTTCAAAAATAACAACAGTACTGATTTCCTTGCCACTTAACCTGGCAATAAACTCAAACTCAAAAAACTCAAAAAAAATTTCAGCAAATCAAGTTAATTACAAGTTACGTCATTCTAAAGTTGTTGAATACAATCAATAAATGTAAATTTGAAGAAAAATATTAATACGAAAAGGTTTAAGATAAACTACATTAGATTTACTTAATTAGCTGATGGACACATGGAAAGAACTCAAGACAGAGCTATCAAAGCCATGTGCCCAGATGACGTGATTCGATGATATAAATATATTACATTTTTTTAGCTTGAATAATAACAGTAAGAATCAGCAAAGGTTGTTTTACATGAAACAATAACTTGTTTCACATGAGAAAAAAATTCAAAAATTTCATTGTTATGATGACTATCAGGCAAATTGAATAATTAACATTTACATGTTGGTCTTACGATGGATTATATTACATAATTTAGAATGAATTTATTCATTATTATAACTTAATTGGCACTAGACCTCTTGTCCAAATGCTTTGCCTCTTTCAACACCAAGCTTGAACCCTTCTACATCACCGACAAGCTGCCCTTCAAAATATCCTTCGTTGTAACCATCAAGATGTAATCTAATTTGAAAGAAAGCAGGAGGTTAGTACTAGAGTGAGTGTGGCTATTTATGAAGAGACTGTGATTTACAATGGCAATGGCTGACCTAGAAAAGGTGAGATTTTGAATTTTTTATAATAAATAGTTCTGACAGAATGTAATGAAATAAAATATTGTAAAAAGTCAAACTATTAAATGCAATCTATTGCATTAACTTTGACCTACTTCTGCTCTATGAGGACAATGTCATCGAAAATATCGTCTGCATTGCGGATGTCTCCTTGTGGCTTGGCAGCCATTGTTGTCGTTGCTGTTGCTATAAATTGAAACCATTAGTTGTTGATGTTGCTATTAAACGAGTGGGGGCGGGACGAAATGGGCGTGTCCATTGAGAAATAAGACGACGCGCCTTCTTTTCGCTCTTAGTATTATCAGTACCACCATTTCTATGAGTACCACGCTCTTTTATTGGTACTATTTTTCTATTCCGTCCGAGCCTGATCTCAGGCTAGTAGTTTATTAGCTTTCACTTATTTTTTTAATACGAAACAAGGACATATGACTCGATAGCTCCTCGCGAGTTTTTCTCATGTGTCCTTCAGCATAACAAAACCACTTTATCTGATGTAATTAATTAATTAAATTTGTGAAAATGCTAACTTTTGTATTCTAATTTTTAATTCTTGGTATATTGTAATTAACATTTGTTTTTGCTGATAAAGATTTTGAGTTTGCAACGAGTACTGGACAGTCAGAAAAAATTAAGAAACTTCGGTACTCGCAGCAAATAAATCAAGAAACTGTTTAATCGTAGCAAAACTGAGAACAACGAAATTTTGGAAAATCCAAGAACTTGATTGCCTTGTTGGCCTAGAACTTACGACGCAAGGGATGGAACTATACTTCCCACATCTAAATACAGAATCAGAACGAAAGCGGATCTCTTGACGTGACAAAAAAGGGCATATCTTTAAAACTAAGGCGTGTGTCAGTAGAAAAATTCATTTGTCTTCAATCTGATGTGTTAAACTAACTTGTACTAGCCCAAGAGTACTAGGGTCTAGTTATACATAAAGTTATAGGGCTGCAAATTATGGGTTTTTAAAGGTATTAAAATCCCTTAATTACATCATCGATGACATCATAGTTAAGAAAATCTTATAAAACAATGAGTATTGAAATTTCCAGAGCATTAAGAAACTGGAGTGCTCAACATCGACCTTTGTTTCTTATAAAAAATGAATGTAATGCTAGAAATGATGATACACCCCCTACTCATTGCAATATTGGGTGGCGGTGGCGGTGAGGGGTGAAGTTGCAGAGTCCTCGCCAAGAATTTGGGGGGAGGGCTAACGAAAGTTGGGGGCAAGGCTTTTTTCACCTTTATTGCAGCTTTGAGATAAAGTTAGAGGAAAAAGTGAGAGGCCCTGGCTACCCTGGCCACCCCGGCCCCCCGGTTGCGTGGGCCCTGAATTGCTCCCTAACATCCCTTGGCACCGCCAGTGCACAACAATAAACTTATTGGAATCCATCATTAAAAATCTTGGACTAAGATTGTCGTACCTCTTCAAGAAGTATGTCAATCACGTTGACAGCTGATGTTCTTTTTGAAGCTTTGTTAAAAGCCTTCCTAAATTATCGTTTCTTGTTCATTTTCATTCTTCGAAAGCTCGATGCTCTTGCTGATCAACATATTTCATTTCATCATTTTCATGTGATCAGTTCTTCTTGTACATGTGCTTCTAACCTGACCATAGAAAAGGTACCAACACAGTTATGCCATGCCAAGGAATAAAGCACACCCGGTTATCATAATTTCGGACCACCAGTATTTGTAAAATTGTCTGAGGACTTGAATATCAATTAATAACAAGAATAGCAGCGAAGAGCAATTTTGTTTTTCTGCGTCAAGTTTAACTTTCTCTATTCCGACCTAAGAATTGTGTTTTGTGACCTTACCTCACTTTCTAACGAAATTCCGGTACCGGGTAATCCAGTATTCAAAAGACACCGGATAATAGTCAGAATGAGTTTCACGTGACCGAGAAACTCTCTTAGGCCAACGGGAGATTGTGATGGAAGGGAAAGCATTGTTGTCATGACTGAACATTGGACTTTTGTAAATAAAAGCATTCCAATAAAATGGCCAAACGAATTTGTAAATGCTTGAATGTTGTCTTGAACATAAATGAGAAAGAAACAGAAGAAGTAGACGGCAAAGGACTGCTAGGAACGGATGAAAATGTCTCTGACGAAGATGTGGATGAATTTTTCAATGGCCATCTGCTACTTGTAAAGCTGGCATTTGCTGGAGTGGAAGTGGTAATCATTTAAAGCTATATATTTCCAAATAAGCTAACAATTAATTGAATTGTTTGTATCCCGCCGTTCGTTGATAACTTCGAGCATTCCTTTGGTTTAAGGAAAAAATTTTCCCCCTTGTCCTATATTCTACTTGTATGTTTATGTTGCAGTTATATGTCCCAACCAGGTTACTTTCATCTTATGTAAATTTCAAACATTAGCAAATATCAATTCGAGCAAAGATTGTGAATTGAATCTTGAATCTTTTAAAGATACCACATAGCATCCAGAACGTAAACCATTGTTTGTACAAGATAGCACCCTAAATTGCAGTACATAGATATACGGAGTCAACTTTATCTAAAATTGAAATTTAAGCTCCACAGTATTATCATCCGACATAAGATGTAAGGTTTTTATCTTTAACAATTATCTTTTTTTTCGTTTAGCAACAGCAAATTTTGATGAAAACACGCACTGTTGGAGATTACAAAATCTACAAATGTCTGAATTGTGGTCTTAGCACTCATGCCATTCACACTTTCAAAGGACTGGAAAGGGTTGTGATCAGCAAAGACCTGGTAAATTTGTGTTCATAATTCTTTAGTGATATAAGGTGTAATATAGAAAGGTATGTGTTCAAGGGATTTATTCTTAAGACATTGATAGCAAAGCTTTATGGGGGTGTGTCTAGGAAAATGTTTCTAGGGACATTCCCCAGCCTTTTTCATCTTGCTATGTTCTGTTTATGCTGAATAAAAGACGAATAGGCATTTTTTTGGGGCACAAGGGGTGCACCTCATTTGACAGGTAATGGCAGGGGTATGTGGAAAAAACTCTGAGTATCATAGGGTACTCAACCATTCTTGGATCCAGCACCAGTTTAACAAGCTATTATGCACTATGTTCTATGATCTAGATAAATGTTCTACTTAAAGTATATCTTGATGGCCACGCCACACAGGGGGCAAGGGGGGTCATGGCCCCTCCCACATATTTTTGCTGAACGAAATAATAAAATTGGCTTAAATTATTCATATAGATATACCTTAAGATTGCCATGAATACATTGAACCAAAGTACACAATTGAAACAGCATCAGCCAAATGATTGTGAAACTTTGTTTACATTGGCGACCCCTCCAGTTTAGGATCTGTGATGTGGGCTCTATACCTGCAAAGTACTAATAATACCAAGGAAAGGAAAACTTTATCATTTTCTCAATGCTCAACAAATTGTATATTATTACATGCTCCCTGGAGAACGAAAGACATCTTGCACAACATTTTTTTGAGTGTACCTTTGCTACCTTGCAAGAAACCAAAATAGTAATAAGCATAAAAAAATCAGGGCTGACTGAAGTCTTAGGGGATTAAAGCCCCCTTACCCCTGTAACACAGCTCCTGGATTGTTGGAATTCCTAGTCTAGATTTAATTCATTTAATTTCAGCTTGGTGAATCATCATATGATAAGATGAGGCAGTCAGAAACTTTCTCAACTGCTTTCAAAATAGTTTTGAATGACTTGTCCTCTGATGGTTCTCCCAAACATGGTAAGGTTATAAACTTTTCATAGTTCTTCTCGTCAACTCCTATGGCTATATCAATGCAAAAGCAAAGAAGGATTCAATGATTCATATTGTAGTGGCAAAGAACTTTGTTTAACAATTTTGCTTATAGTGTTGCTAATAACTCAGGTAGGTTAAATGTTAAGTTAAGAATGCTTAAAATTTCCATTTACAAAACTACTTTTGTTTGAAAACCAGGAAGAAAATGTTCGTAAATCATGCCATGAGATGGATTCAATGATCAAGTGGATGCTTTAGTAACTCAGCTAGATCTGAAAGAAATTGCATGTAAACATGTGGATAGTTAAGACATCTCAAAAGATGGAAGAGTACAAACTTGGAGTGTTTTCAACCAAATTTTGTATTATATAGTTTTTAATCAAAGACTGAAGTACGGGATAAAAAGAGCTATTTCATACTGCTTTGAAAGTTATGATCTGTGCATGAATGAACTTCAATTCTAGACTTTTTCGGTTAAGAAACTTTGATTCATGGTATTAAACCAGGCTCTTCTGTTTTCAGGCAATGGGTCCCAGTTGCAAATGTTCCAGCGATCTCTTTCTGATGCCAATTCTGAAGTGAATGATATAGTGAAAAAATACCTAGCGTTTGAAGAACAGGCAATGAATGAAAGAATACGGTAAGAAGATATGAATGCAATTTGAAGCTTGTCTGACAATGTGTGATGTCATTTGCTTGCCATTATCCCTAAGTGACCTTTGAAAATGTCATGCCACCTTCGCCATAGTCTTTATCGGTTTCTGTTGGAAGAAAAAACAGGAGGAAACTTTTGAATTTTATGTTTTTGAATGAATTGGATCAAACAAGGTCAAGTTGAAATTTGAAAGGAAAATTCCACAGTCTGATAACCTGATACTCATGTGACAAGGATTATCTAGCCAAAATCTTTTCCTTATTGTTCCTTAATATCTGTTCTCTTGAGTAGAATTTGAACAAAAAATGCCATCAATATGTTTTTAAAGTCAGTGACATTTCTCAGGAATTAATTAGCTGGTAAAAAAAGTTTTAGTATTTCTTGATAAAGGACAGGCTTCACTAAAATCATATTGTTCCTTTAGGCCTAGACACCATGCTGTTGCTGTGAAAACAGAAAATATGTTGCTCAGTTCCCACTCTTACTTTACTTTGTTACTTACTTTGAAACTTCAAACTAAAATTAATCATGCTGCAAGTGTTGTTCAGAGCCTGTCAAAATGCTTTCTTGAGATTGGGATTTACAAGAGCTTTCATTTGCTACCTCAATCTGTGTTGTAGACTCTACAGGATAGAAGTTATTAGAATCTGCGTGTGATCCGAATCTATGAGGTCACTTTACAAGCTAAGCTAGGTACACCATACATGGAATAACCCAAGAAACCTTTGGTAGCACAAGTTAGTATTTTCTTATTTGTTCAGACCTTATACCATTGTGATCAAACATTCGCTAATTGTGTAGATCATTTTAGGATTCACACTGAACAACAAAGAGATATTTTTGAAAAGCTTCAAGAGAAGGTAAAGATCGACAAGCAGAAGTTTTTAAGGTTAGTTTAGAATTTGTTTATCAAAAGTAGGTGTCATTTTTCAATAAAAACCAAAGATCTTAAACTTTATATTATACTGTAGAGGAAATTGCATTCTTAAGGGGGCTTTATTTCAAGAATAATTTGGTTTTGGTCACTTATTTGTTTTTCGAAAACATGACGTAAGTTGCATGAAACTGGTCAAGTTCATGCCAGGGCCATTATTGGCCCTATTTTTGTCTATTTTCAGACTGCTAAACAAATTCTAATAAATGTATTTTTTTGTTATTTATTCCTGCCATCAAATCTTTCCTTGTTGAAAAAAGATTTTAAAATCTGTTATGTTAAATGGTTTATGCTTAAAGGAGTAAATTTGAAAAAATGAACTACTCTTCAATATGAAATAGATATGGACATTAAATGTAGTTGATGAGAACTTGAGGCTAGCACATAGGCTATTGTCTGCATTGTTCTTTTTTGCAGAGCAAATTGTAATAAAGATTTAGTGAGATGGCTGCCGTGTTTAAAGAATTGGCATCATTTATTTTAACTGCTGAAGTTCTAATTGATTTTTCAATTTTTAGGCTTATCAACAAAAATGAACAAAACGCTCTCCAATCCTCGATTTCTGATGCAATGGAAGATATGAAATTAGTCAAAAAAGAATCTATTGATTCAGACTCAGAAGAACCAGCATCAAGTTTACCCCAGTTCAAAGGTTTGTTTTCACTACTTTTAATATCAACGCTCTGACGTTTTCTCAGACAATTACAACTAACAAATGATTTGAAAAGCATTATATTTTGTCATTATCAGTAGTTTTATATGATTCGAAATCTAAATGAAAGTTACTGTTATGGGTCTATCATAAAGTGCTTGGTGCCGTATAGACAGAGATGTATGTATGTACACGCTTTTTGGTGTATAGAACAGGACCATTGTAATTTGCTACTCCGAGTTTTACGCTTAATGCGACTGTTGACTGAAAACCTTAAATCTGTTATTTAGAATCTTTTATTAAAGATGCATAATTTTGTTTGGAATCAAAATATTCCGTAATAAATTATTAATTTCCATGCATTGCTGTCGATTGCATTCAGTGTTTGTGCAAAGTTGATTGAAAACTCTGCAGGCTCGAGGCCTTAACGAAGGTACAGGGTTGGTGGAAAAAATTGGTCTTGCTAAGTTCTATTATTTCATCTTGGTAAAAGGCTATCAAATATTAATTGAAGACCTGTAATTAGAAAAAACATTTTGATTGCACAGGCAGAAAACAACGCCCTCGTCGAAGCATCCCTATCGTTGCAAGCTCGCTGCCAAGCAACAGGGCTCCTTCCAGGGTCCTTACACAGCAAGCCGCCTCCTCATTAGATAACAACCAAAGATCGAAAATGAAAATGAGACAGAAATTTCGAAAGGAGGATGATACATTGTTCGATTTTGATGGCTTCAATGAGAACAGAAGTTGTGAACCGTTTTTTGAATCTGACGAGGACAGCAGTGGTATGTTTTAAATTACTTTGTATTATTTCATGTATTAAGTTGTGATGCAACAACGGCATCAATAGTTTTTTATGCCAATAAAGAATTACAATACAATACAATACAATACAATACAATACAATACAATACAATACAATACAATACAATACAATACAATATAAAAAACTACAGTACAATGCCGGTATCATAGGGGTATGGAATTTCATGACAATTCTGGGGCCATCCACAATCATTTCAAAGTCTGACAAAATAACTTGAATATAGATGTAATTGTACGAGGAAAATGAGTTATTTTTAATTATTATTTTACTTTCTTTCCTCGTACAATTTCATCTTATTTTTTTCAAGCCATTTTCTCATATTTTATTGTACGACAAGCTAGCTAGTATATTTCAAAGTCTGTTTGCTAAAAGATGCTAGGTGAGGCACCCAGGAAGGGTTGATATATACCTGGCTGGTGAGACACTAAGGAGGGAAGGTAAATGTACGAAAGGAGAGACGCTAAGGAGGGCTTTGTATATTTGTGTACATTGAGTTATTTTTTGGAACAGGCTTTGATTACAATTGAGAGAGAACAATTCACTGCTCAGCAATAAAAGAAATAAAAAACAAGAAAGACACTGTTTGCGAGAAGGGAGGGTAGCCCAGTGGTGAAATGCAGTTTAGGGCATCTTAGTTCGATAGCCCCTGACCATAAGGGGCCCCCATGTTAATTTGGATGGGATGGGACTTTCCAGCAACTTTCCTTTTTCCTTAGGGCCCTAGATTTCTCTGTTACGCCACTCGAGAATGTTACGATGCACGAATTTATCACATAGACATTGAATGTATCCATAGTTAATGCTATCATTTCACAATGTCTGTATTTGTTGCATTACGAAAAAATGAATTTATTTTAGCTTATTTGCCTGTTGATATTTTTATATTCGAGGCTTCCCTATTGCTTCAATATTTGACAAATATATACACTCCCCTCAATGAATAACAAAGACTGTATGTACAGCTCGAAGTTCAATTGCTCTTTCAGAGAAAAACAAATTTAGGATGGCGATAGAGACACTTAAATTTAGTGATAATAATTTTTTAAGAAACCGTTCCAAAATCAACCAGCACATTAAAATGTAGCAAAGCTGTATCTTTAAATCCATTTAACATGTCCTTAACATCAATTTTACCATGGGCATCGTTTTGCCTTCTAGCACGTAAGTATAAGGACTCAAATTGAAAAAAGTAAAATTTAAATCTCAGAGCATCAGCTTTGACATGTTGTTTTTATTTGTTTAAAGAATATTTAAATCTTGATAGCTTCGAGTATGCTTGTCTTATTACTAAATTGCGCTTATGCAATGAACCTAATTTTATCTGTTATGGTTACACTAGGCCTAATCATCCGGTTATTTGTTTGTTCACGACTTTATTTAGCACTAGAAGCTGAGCTTCCAGCCAAAATGACAAAGAATGGTTTTAAGATGAGAGGAACGCATTTCCAGCTAAAATGCTTATTGTTACTCCTTTGCAGGACGTCTCCCTTAACATAAATTTCAATTGTAAACAGAGTGTTTTTTGAATTTGAACTGGAGTTGAAGAAACTTCAAACTAAATTTCGGCCATGACAGTTACTCAAAGCTTCAAACTTTCTTCCAACAACAATTAATGGAATGCTCTTTTATTTGAATGTAAGTTAATCAACAGAAGACTGTCCTCAAGTAATAGTTCATCTTTCAAAACATAGCCCTTTCGCGGCCTTTTGATAGCTAGAAGGTCAAGCTTAACGCCACATAGGCCGACATATGAGACATTTTTGCGTGAATTTTGTTTGATTTTCTTCTCACATCTAAAAACTATCGTTTTACTTTCCAAGGTGATTCGAGTAGCCTTGGAAACAGTGGTGGATTCGATTTCACTTCAAACCGAGGTAGCAGCAACAAAAATCGAATTTATGCAACCTCTGTTCCAGTTAGCATTCCAATGTATCGAGAACCTCTGCATGGTTCTTTCGAAGAAAGGAGTTACATTGATTCGGTAACAATTTTTTATTTATATTTTCGGCATTTGATAATTTTTTTGATAGACTATTATTAATAACAGTAACGATCGATTAACTTTGCCAAAGGATCTGTGTCCAGTTCTGTGTCCGGATCGTCTTGACTGACCGGCGTTGCTTGTTTTTTAGGAACCGGCCCCTTCACCGGAGCGAATGGCTGAATCAATCAAAGCCCTCGCAAGGAGTCTGCACGACTCAACCAGTATATTTGGCGAACTTCCTGGACCACGATACAACACAATGCCTTATCACTAATAGAATTTATTCGAAATGGTAATTGCATATTTAAATTTCTATTTTCGCGTTGTTTCGAATGGAGGCCCAGCCTCATTTGCAGATTTATCATATTTGTTTTAGATTTAGTTATTGTTGACATAATGAGGTTTTTGCTATTATATCTTGTAGACCTTTTTCTCCAAGCCTCGATCAGTGGCGACACCTGGGTGGCGAGGGGTTGCGGCCTCCAATATTTTGGAGAACAATAGTCTTTTGTTCTATAACAATGAGAAAATTTGACGTCATCTTATCGAAAAACTTGCCCCCCCCCACCCAATCTTTGACTAAGTGCCCGCCCATGGCCTCTATCCGTCCCATGATGTATTTTTCCAACTTGCTTGGGATAGTATATTTTGTTTGAAATATAAAAAGGTAAAACGATGGCAAATTCTACAGAGCATAAAAATTAGAAAAGTTAGACTGCGAAATATAACCTTAATGACGTATAACTCCTAAACAAATTAGCGAAAGTCTAACTACTAGTTTTTAGCTTTCTTACTAGGCCTTTGTGCTTAATTCAGAGTTCGAACTACAATTATCATCTAGCTAAATAGCAGAATTAGCATCGCGAGCATGAAGTGCACGTCATGCTCTGTTTTTAATCATTTTAAAATTATCCCCAGACAAAATTCTAAAAAGTGTTTCCCGCTTTTAAAACCCGTTTCCTGAATCCCTTTGAAAAGTGAGACCGAAAAATTCTTGCAAAAATAGATCATTTGTTTGAAAACCTCTCCTCGTCCTCTGAAGCCTGTCTTCATCAGAAATGGATTCATCCTTCTGCTAGACAATTTTCACAAACTTTGGAATCCTTACTCAGGAAACAGGGAAAATAAAAGGGAGTTCGGGGGGGGGGCATTTATTTTGTTTTTATCGGACTTTCTCATGACTGTTAACTGCATGAACACCACATCTTCTGGATTCTGATCTTTATGGGTCCTTTAATTTTAATATGCGAATCTCCTTTCCTTACTTTTTATGTGTGCAATACCTGAAATTTGTTTCCTGTAGTTTTTGCAAATTTTTGTTGGACTAAGGTATTCTGAAAACTGAAAATTGACATAGGACGTACTGCAAATAATTTAGATTTTTTTTAAATTTGTAAAGGTATCTTCTTTTCAATTTGAACTAGTAAAAACCCTTTTCCAGAAAAAACTCTCTGTTGAATCAATTCTTAACATAGTATAAAGATGTTAGGTTCTTACCCCTTTTTTTAATAAATATTTATTACGAACACAAACCACCCTTTTGAATTTTTATCCTGGACTCTGTGCTGACTCGTGCGAACTTCAACGTTTTTACCACTGAAAGACCCTAGCCCATATTCAAAAAGCGAGAGAATTTGGGGTATTACCCCTTTTTCACAATTAATTCTTTTGTATGGTTAAGTCAAAGTTAGTTAAATTCTATTAACTATGATTCAGATCTGATCATCTTATCAACCTGTGATTCACACCATATTCTGGGAAGGCAACTTTGCAATTTAAGAGAATCACAAACCTTGACCACCCCACTCAGACCGTTTTCCCCACAGAGATATTTATTATCCTTATGCTCTAATCATTGCAATTTTTGTTTGTATTGAATTTCCCTTTCGTAAGTATTGTGAAGTCTGACGTAATTGATAGATGGCTGAAATTAGACCTAAGACCTAGTCCTAGCTAGATTGCTGAAAGACAGGAGAGGACAGTGGTGCAACAGCACCAATATTTTAACCCCCCCCCCATCTTGGCAGGTCATGGTTCGCGACCCTGAAGTAATATTTTCTATATTGCCACCACTGTTGAAGTGCCTATTGCGTCTTTGGTTAGCAATATTGCTGTTGTTATTGAATTGCTTCAGCACTTGTACATGGCTGTCAGGGAATTGTAATAAATTCTTTCGTATTAATCCATTGGCGTTGAGATTTTTACCCCGTCCTCCAGTTTTGACGCTAAAGCTGTTCAAATTGAACTGGGAGAAGATGTCGGACGTTACATCCCTGCTACCTAAACGTATTTCAAGATTGTTGAAAACATCACAATATTTGATAAGCACAAAATTCACCCCCCCCCCTTCCTCTCTCTACTCACACACAGCTGTTTCTTTTAATGTTGTCATAAGATTTTGATAACCGTTATTTTCCATTCAAGAACCTCCAAACCCCACCAAAGTTTAGTCTATATTCTACTGACCCATTCCACAGCTATGACACAACATGGCTTTTTCTATTTTATTATATATTCTTTGTAAGGTTTTGTTTAATAAATGAATTTAGCCATAGTAATGTTGCATGAATAACCTACTTTTTAAATACTGTGTTTTTGTTGTGTGAAGCCTTCGTGAAGGTTCCATTTGGCTACCCGTCATATTGAAACTTCGCCCCTTCTTAACTGTGCGAAATGGCTGTGCAAGGCTAGGCTAGGGAATCAGATTGTCCAGACAAGTTTCTGAAACGGGGATGTTACTTCTTTCAAACCATAGACTCCCGACAACTCGAAACCCTGATATCTCGAACATTCGCTTAGTCGAACTGATATTGCATTCCTCTTGCCAAATACATTAATATAATCTCGATAACTCGAACATTAGCTGTCTGGAACCATTTCATTGGCGCTTGGATGTTCGAGTCATAGGGAATTTACTGTAGAACCTTTTTCTAGACAGGAATTTCTCGAATAGGGAGGCAGTCTTCGCTGATATGACCAGCTAACAGCCTTTGGTATTCTGCAGCATTACGAGAACGTGGTATTAAGAGGAAAGTTTTAAAGCCAAAGAATGATTTCAGCAATTACCGTAAATCCTCGAATTGCCCCCCCCCCCTCGAAAAAGCCCCCCTTCGAATGAGCCCCCACCCTAGAACTACAAATTGTCAAAAAGCCCCCCCCTGGAAAAAGCCCCCACTGCTACCGTTTATTCTCGAATTGGACCCCTCAATCTGACGGTTTTTGCCATCTGAGGTTGCCTATGGCGTTTTATTGAATTACCACGACAAATTCGTACTTTTGGTAGTAATTTATTCAATGCTCATAGAGAAATTCCTTCTAAAATGAATAAGGTCTTGTAATAATGTATTCTTATTGTCTACAATAATTTTATAAGCCCTCCCCCTCGTATAAGGCCCCCGTCCAAATATATCAAAAATAAATAAGCCCCCAGGGGTCTAATTCGAGGATTTACGGTAAAGCAATAAGAATATTCTTTATAATCACAACGTTATAAGCTACAACAAGAAAGGTCTTTATAAGATTTTAAAAATGAAAACCCATGCGAGCTTAAGTTGAGTAAGATTCTCAAAGATTGGATAATTCTGAGCCTAGTTATTGTTAACAACTTCATTCTTCTAAAAATGTTTAATTAAGGCCCTCTATCAAAAGTGGTTTGTTCAACTTCACCCTCTTTTCAGAAAGTTAAACAAAGTGATGATTTAAACTTAGCTACCCCTTTAGCTTTCGAGAACATTTATTGTATTTCCATCACGATTCGGCAAGTGTGTTTGAAATAGATTAATTCATGTTAAGCCCTTGTTAAAAAACAAATTTCTATATAAAATGTTCAGTAAAAAGAATTCCAAACGGCCCCAGGCGCCTTCGCTACGTCATCATGGTCTACGCCGAAAAACGTCATGTTGGCAGATTTTGGTATTGAAGACGCAACAACAGCCACATTTTACCTCCAAGAAGGAACAACAGTTGGGAAGGCACAAGAACATGGAGGGCAAGTTAGAAGTGCCGCCAGTTTTCGACTGCTTGCAGGATATTTATGGGCCAGTAAATGACAGAATAAAGAAAAGGTATCTTTCTCATAAATTCTTCGAAAAAATGTTTCAAATTAGCATTCAGGTTTTCCCGTAGCATACTGTAAATGGGAGCAAAATATCTCATTTCAAGTCATATGATTCCGCTTCATGTGATCTCTCCCTTATCCAAGTTGAAGTAAATTGGCATATTATCAAAGATGTTAAATTGTGGGAAGACGTATCCAATGCATAATTGTGAAAATAGAAACAGTCTTTGCATGCCTGATATCTTGGCAGAAATGGTATATTTTGTATCCTGTTCATTTGAAGACATTTGACTAGAATGTTTTTAATTTACTCCAATTTCATCACCCATCACAAAGGCAGGGTGTGCATAAGCCTTTTTCCTGTTTCTGCTTCAATTATTTACATTATGCTTGTAAATATCATAGAATTCTGATCTTTGCTTTTCAAAAACAGAAATAGAAATTGTCATTAATTCTTTGTTTCTTGTGATGAGTTTATCTATCACTCACAGTAACGGCCACATTTTGATAAGCTCTATTTGAATCCAACTATTTGAATAAGTTCTCCTATTTGATAAGCTTCCCTACTACAAAAAAAACATCCAGGGTCCAGGTCAAAATGTCAAAAAAGCAAGTCGTTTGGATAAAAATATGCCTGTATAGATTGCAGGAAAAGAAGGCAATTTTTATCACTTTTCTTACGATTTGTTGCAAATTTGGACTCTTTCCTCTATGTTCTTTTTTTGCATCTACAGCCCCAGAATAAAAGTAAGTTTTATGTTCTAAAAGTAAGATTGGAATCTTTGAAAGATGTGCAAAGATAACCTCTTTGAAAGAGGAGGTTATACATTTCAGAGAAAAACAGCTGGATGAATCATTGTAGCTGGATGAATCATTTTAATAGAAATTGCACGACTGCAACCTCAGCCAATAGTTGATTTGCATGTGGCCTCAGATGCTAAATTTTTCAGTTTTTGAAAACCATGTTTGACTCTTTTTGTAGATATGAGAAGATAATTTCAAGATTTCAATTGAAATATGGATCAGCACCAGAGGTTTTTGTCAGAGCACCAGGGAGAGTCAATCTCATAGGTTTGTGTTTTTATATTTGGGCATTTGATTCTTTATATCTGCGTATCTTATTGCATTGTCATTCTGGGTTGCATTATCTTTTGACAATAAACTGTGTTGAAGATTTTTGTGTTACTGAGTTGACTTACAGTCTTTTGAAATTATTTATCTGATAATATACTTAAAGTTTAGTGTAGAAAACCCATTGACAAATTGTTTGCATTAAAATGTATTACATTTTATCTGTCAGGGTGTGAAGATGTTAATTTGGTCATGTTTGTTCTACCTTTGTTAGTTACATGTTTCAGGATGTTCACAGGATGCATTTTGGGCATTCAAGGGGAGGTCAAGCCCCCCCCCCAAATTCTTCCTTTCCTCTTTCTACAACCGTCCTCTTAGCTTCTCCAACAACATCAGACCTGCAAAGATTTCCTTAAAACTTTTTTTAATGCCTTACTTGGCAGCATAGAATATATTTAAAAACAATGCATTTTGGGCATCAATTGATTCTGGAGGATATATGTCCCAAAGCCCATCTAGATGTGTACAATTCTGAAACATTCACCATTTATTGTTAAGGTTTACATTTATAGGAGAACATATTGACTACTGCGGTTATGCTGTGTTTCCAATGGCCCTTGAACAGGACATTGTCATTGCCCTGTCTAAAAATGAGGAGGACAAGCTCGTAATGTGCAACACAGATGAAACATTTGGGTAGGATTTAACATCTTCATCATAATCTATATGCTTTGTAGCTGTCTACCACCCCTGTAAGATTAGCTATTTTGCCAATGGTTTTCAAATGAAAGGGACAAAGGAAGGATAGGTTTTTAGAACATATATATTGTCTATTGAAGCTTGTATTTCTCTCTACCATTTGTCAGGCAGGTCCATTACTACAGAGATTTGTGTTTTCAGGGAGTTATCCTGTTCATCTTCTGATTATGAAATCAATGGCCAGAGCTGGTATCATTACATTTTATGTGGTCACAAGGTACAATGCTTCCATTATTGTTGAATGATTTCCTAAGATTAGCTACATCTTATCAAATAGCTGTAATGATATGTTTAAGATTGGGCATTATTCTGGCTTTAAAACTTTGTGAATCTTTCAAATTCTAAAAGTTTAAGTCCGAGCTTTAGACAAAACTGACTAGGTGTCATTTCCAAATCTGAAAGAGGAACTCTCTCATTGACATTACCAAACCACCATCCTTGGCCTGTTTGTTGGCACAGCTCTTAAACATGGATAATTTATCCCAGTCCATTACATTTTCTAGCGCAATGAGAGACTCACAAAGTCAAATGATAAGTCAGATGTTATGTAAAGCAGACACCTAAGTCAGATGATGAGCATCCCAAACTATTTTTATACTTTATTCCTGTGAAGTTAGATTCAGTGCAAGATAGACAAATTGGTCCTAGTGAAGTTACAATTCACTCTTGTAAATAGTGTACAAGATATCCATGAAAACAAAAGGATTTCCAGGGATTTTCGGGTAAAACAAAGGCATTTCTGCCAATGGTGAATGAAAGCTTTATGGAGTGATTTGCCCCTTGGTCCAGGTCATATGCACTTGACTTTAAAATGATTAAATCCACCAGCTCTGTCAAAGGAATTTCAGCTTGGGTTCCAAGACTGTTGCTCATCTTCTTGTTGTTTTTAATCCTCTGGAATAATATTCCATTGTCATATGCAAAGAAATTTTACAAGGGGTTTGAGGGGCAATAACCCTCCCCCCTTCCCCAACTAGTAAGTTCAAAATATTTTTGTCAAGTCATACTTTTCTGGTGTTAGCTAGTGATACTGGCAAAAAACAAAGACTGTAAAAGTTCAAAAATATCTTGCAAAATAAATTATCCAAAGTATTCACAATAAATACAGCAAAATGATAACATTTAGACTCAAGCAAATTACAAAACAGCCTTAAACTGAATATTCTACACCAATACAAATTATCTAAAAATATACATAAATTAAGTTGTAGCCAAGGGAGTAGTTTTAATGTTTAGATTATGAGTGGCTCAATGACATTAGGAGGATTGTTCCCCTCCACAAGACGGTATAAAATGTCTCTGGTTCAAGCTTTTGTTTGTTCACCTCTGCAACCATCGCCTTTTCTAACGAACAACAACGTAAGCCGCAGCCCAAAAAGTAGCACTGATACTATCAGAATGCACAACACAAACGCTTGATTACCGCTTCCATCCGTCCACTGTTTAGCGAGGACACCAGAACTTCCAAGAATCAAGACAATGTATTCAGCTGCAACAAATCTTGTGAACTTCCTGAAGACAAAATTTTCCAGGATCGACCAAATGACAACTGTGGCTAGTAAAAAGGAGAGTGAGATAGCACCAGCCTTGGATCTAGAGAAATGCAAGTCAGCTTGCATAGACACAGCGGCATTAATGCAAGATGCAATTGATACCCATGCAATGTAAAATATGATGCCATTTTGCACAAGGAATCGTACAAGCCATAAATCGACTTTGCTCAATCTGCTGCTGTCGTCTGAGGAAAGTTCGTTTAGGTATTTGTTGAGGCTCCTGCTAGCAATTGCAAAACAAATATCCAAAGAAACAGTAATGAGCACAAGAACAACAAAGGAAATTGTTACTTCGCCATGCGCCCACAAAATTAGCCAGCTTATGTTAGAGAACTGCGATAATATATAGAATGCGTAAAACTCTGTAGGCAGTATATCAGGAGATTCTGGTCTGACCAAGAGAGTCAAAGAGTAAATGATCCAAGCCGCCTGTAAGAGATAAATGACGCTCCAAATGGCGAAAGTGGCGCCCGCCGGCGACAAGTCTGTTTCATACTTGTCAGAAACTTCGCCAGTTCTCTTAGGAAATACCTTCGAAGGAACACTAGCTTGCTGGTTGAAAACTATCAGCACCAAAAATATAAGGAAGTTTACAACGATGAGTACTTTCTTGAACACCGATATTCCGTTATTGATCCGGATCATAACTGCCATTTCCAGTACTACACTTCGGAGCAAAAAACTTCTCAGGAAACTGTAATGTGTGTGTGTTTAAAAAATCTGTTCCTCCAAGTTCACTGAACAGAGCTCTTTTGCTCGTCTCAGCTGTAGATTCATCCTTATGTACATCTCTATTTACATAATTTCAAACTTGCTGCATTCACGTGTTGATCGCCGCGTGTCAGGGAATCCTTCTTGCTTGAAATCTGTTTTGAACGGTGGGGATTCCCCATCATCTTTCAAAATGCGATACAAAAATTACTTCCATCTAAAACCACTACATAAGAGAATACAAAGGAGAATTACACGGTTCACATAAAAATTAATGATAACAGTTCGTATCTACGTACATTTTTTTTATGTAAGAACATTGCCATGGGAAGCTTGTACAAGTACTCTACATTTCGAAAAAATTAAGATAAGTCAGCCCTCGAAGCAAAAATGATAAGAAACAATTAAATTTTCTACAAAGCAGAGTTCAAGAATTTCGTGATTTTCCATAAATGAGATCGACTGATTGGCATAAAGCTTTTAGACACAACCAACATAAAATTTTCAAAAGAAGTTGTTTCGTCTCAACCAACTTCAAAGTCTCAAATCGTCGGTGATGAAATGAAATAGGAAATGCCTTACCCAAAAAACTACGCAATGTGACCAAAAATCTCAAAAGTGGTAAAATTTGGGTAAAATTAATCCTCTGATATTATGAAACTTTTTAAAGTAATTACAAAACAACTAATGCTGAAAGTCACAACAGCGACGAGAAATTGATGTACTTTAATTTCGCAGTTTTCGAGTACAATACAGTTGTTGATAATTGGTGAAATTTTTTTTCTTATTATTAAATAAATATTTCAAAAAAATTGAAACTTTGAAATGATACCGACTTTTAATATTCATTAGAGAAATAATTTTCTAAATGGTATGTTGTTGTTGTTGTTGCATAATATGGTGTTGCGGTGTTGCGTCCTCCGATTATGCAAGCCTCTGGTTTACGTCAGATGCTTACACGTGTTTAGAGACATGTGACCAAACAGACCTTTGACCTACGAGGTGCAGAGTTCGTCGTCCAAAGTCAAAAGTCAAAGTTTATGTTTTTAAGTTAGAAAATTTTCAGTTTATTGAACATTTTTCGTTGTTTTGATCCGAATTTAAGCAGTTTCTAGAGACTATATACTGTGACATAGCCTGATGTCAATAAAAGCACTGACAGGGACTACCGATTTGGTGGAATTAGGGCCTGAAGAGAGGGTGAACCCCTTCTACTACTCTTGCTTGCCGTTAATTAACTTTGTTCTTGCCTAGTCAATAGTCGGAATTATTTCCATAGAAATTACGCTCTTCTGTATCTGGTACACCTTCATCAACCTGGGGGTGTAGTTCTTTGGAAACCAAATGAGTTTCTCCTAAAATATGCTTCTAAAAAAGAAGTAGAAGCTAATCAATTTTGGCTTTAACAAGGATGTTTTAGCCCACCCCACCCCCTGAATCCCCACAGGTCTACAAATCTGCCTAAACTCAAACTTGAAAATTTGCATCTTTGTACGAAAGGCAAATATTTCCTTTCCTTGAGTGAGAAGAAGAGAATGAAAGGAGGCGGAGGAGAAAGTGGAAATTTGTCCTTTTCCATCCCTGTTTCAATTTCTAATGATGTACACATCCCCTCCCATTCCTTTGGTTTTTTAAGGCTTACAACTCCACAAAACTGCTTATACTTCCCTTCCAACTTATTTTCAAAACATCCTCATATAGATATTGTCACTTTAATAATTGTAAAAGTCTACAAAATGCCTCCTCGTTAGAAAGGGCCATTTATCCATAAATTTTCGAAAAAATGAAAAAACAAATAGTAATATTTATTCAGCTATTTCAGCTTATTGTAAACTGGAAGTCATCAATGGAATTCTTTTTTGTTCAATTTTGATTATACTGTAGGAAATTGTATTTTTATAAAGTTAAGCATAAAAAAGACCCCCTTTAAGAGCAGTAATGCTGTATGAAGTAAAAAGAAATAAGATATCGGTATTCTAAATATACTGAAACATTAATAAGATATGTCCTTCAACTAAATTCTGAACATTTTTGCATTATCGAGTCCTAACGTCACCCTAACAGCAAAAAGATTTTTTTAGGGAATAACAGAACATTTTAATATGGACAAGCCTGTTGGAATGAAAATGGTCGTCGATGGAACTGTTCCAAAGGTAAACAGTACCTCTTGAGTGGGGACTTATGCATTCTTTTAGTGTTGAGTATGACGTTCCCGCTTACAGCATATTCATCAATAAATTTTTGCGTTAGGCAGCTATGCATGGAAATCCCTGGCTACTCTTATATAAAAAAATATTATAGCAAGTAATGGTAAAATATAGTAAAATCCCTGGTTACTCCTATATGATAAAGTAATCTAGTGGTATAGTAATGAATGCTTGTTAACTTTTTTGCTATCTTCCAGAGTGCTGGTTTGTCAAGTAGCTCTGCACTTGTGTGCTGTGCAAGCCTCGCAACCATGTTTGCAAATGGGAGACAGTTAACCAAGGTGAGACTGCTTCAATATAGATTCCAAAGCTGCTGTGCAATTCACCTTTCTTAGGGTTTCATGCTGTATTGACCATTTTTATTATCAGATTAATTCCACCGCAATGCAAAAATCTGTAGGCAAGCAATGATTTTTGAAATCTTATTGTAGGCAAGTTTCAGGTCTGTCTCTACAATTTGAATGCATCTTAAAGCAAAATTTTTCATTTTAGTACGAGCTGGCTGATATCTGCAAAAAATGCGAGAGATACATAGGAACACAAGGCGGAGGGTAACTTTTATAAACTTTTTTTCTACAAATCTACACGCCCTGGTGTATAAAACAGGACAGGGACGGTCCTGTTTGATTACTTAAGACATCCAGAACCGTTCTATACACCGAAGTATGTACGGCTCTGTCTATACGGCACCAAGCATTACATGACATACCAGTAAATCAGTAATTTTTGTGCTTAGTGCATATATAGATAGCTATAAATTTTAGTTTTATGCTACAGTATATGACATAAGTACATAGGCCTTTAACCTATTTCCATTTTGTTTCTCACGATATATCTGTGAACATTATATACAAAACTTGAAAAAAATAAGAATTATGTACACTGATAACAAAACCAGTCTAATTTGCAGCGATTATAAAAACGGTTGAATTCTTTTAAGAAATACATCATTATATAGCAAAGAATTAAATATATCATGAATTTTTTCTAATTTTCCAACTTTTTTTTCTCTTGTGTAATGGAGCTACTTGTCCCAGTATCGGTTCCTCAGAATTGGATGGGTTTAAATTGCGGGTTTTGTTCCAGATGTTGCTACAGTCGTTTCCATACCGCTTCTGATCTGGAAGCCTATTATTCCCAAGCAGGATTTTATGTGTTCTATATCTATAAAAGGGTTTAGCCTTTCTCCATAAAGTGACTTATTCGTTAACTAACCCCCCCCCCTTTTACAAGATAAAAAAGGGTTGACTATGGCATGTTACTTGTGTTTCTGTTTTTATTGAACGGTATTTGCCAAAGCTTTTTAGCGGAAGACCTTCAGTAATTCTGGCATTGGTATACATATTTTCCGAAATCCTAGAATTTTCTCAGTGCTGTTTTTCTGGCCCTTGCTCAACAGGGCTTGCAACAAGATTGTCCCCAAGTGCACTATAACAGAAAAACCTTCAATAACCCGAAGATTAATTGCTAGAACTTTAAATAAGGATGACAGAAGTTTCTTGACCCCCGTCTCTTGGTTTTGCTTGAACCGAGTCAGAGAATTTACATATTTTTGCTCAAAATGGATGCTATTTTACTTAAGTAACGATGTGAACCTTTATACAAGAGTTTACACTTCAAAATTTAATGCTGTCATAAGGGTGTGTCTTAGTTAATATAAATGGATAAGGGCAAGAATTAAATTTATTTAGCTTTCTAACGTTACTTTTCACGACTGTTGTTTCCAGTTTTCATCTGAAGAAATTTAAAGGTCCATTTCATTCACAGGATGGACCAATCAATTTCCTTCCTTGCCTTACGGGGGACAGTAAGTAACATGGCTTGTCTTTGTACCTTGCCTACCGTTTACAAATTGCTACTTAAATATTTTAATCGAGCTTGATTCCCTTACAGTCCTGTTTACTTAAGACCTGAAATGGATGGGGCTAGGCGATTTCAAACGATTGAATGATTACTGTATCGAGTGGGTTTTAGATAGATTTGCCTTTCCAATTAAGAAATGATTTCTTCGTAAGCAAAATGACGTAGTGACTCCTTTGCATTCCATGTTGTTAATCACACTGAGGCGATTGCAAGCCAATGACAAGGCTCTATCGATCAAAAAATGCATAGATCATCGATTGTTCCCAGTATTGACCAGGCGTGAATGTTTCTGCTTTTACGCAGACTCGGTTATGTCAAAAGCGATTGCTGGAAGAAGGTTATGCTAAAAAAAGATTTTTACATCATATTTATGAATCTTGTTTCAGGCCAAACTGATTGAGTTCAACCCATTGACGGCTACTGATGTTAAGCTACCCAGTGGTGCTGTTTTTGTGATCGCAAACTGCTTGGTAAGATAAAATCTGTTTCATTCTACTGTCGACTATTTGAGGTTTCAGTTGTTTTCTTGCTCTCACTATCCACTGCAACCAGGGGCGGACTGTCACTTTACTTCTGGGGTGGCTTTGTGGCTGTGAAAAGGCCCGTAGAGTGTGACCACGCCTTAAAAAGGTGTGGTCACTTAGTCAACCTATTTCATGTACTCTAAATTTTTTATTAATTTGCATAACTTTAATCAGTGCCAGAGAATTTAGGCTGGATAGCCATTATTTCCAACCAGAAAAGTTAATGTTCATCGTTATAAATTCATGCATAAATTTAAAAATTTCTCTCTATAAAGGGCACGCATTATAAAATTCTGAGAGGCCTGGGTGGCGATCGCCACCAAACCACATGAGCCAGTCCCCCCTGACTGCAACGTTAATGAATGGAGAGTCTGCCAAAGCCTCTAATCCCAGTAGCACTGCTTTGCGGTGCTGCTCTTGGTGATCCTTTTTAAAAGCTGCTTGAGT